GAGGAAAGACGCCCTAACAGGAGTTCTCTAATGTGGTCGATGCCAATACCCTCTCCACGGCACATATACAAGGATGACCCGATGAAACTGAACCTTCAAACGGTGAGCTTCGCAGAGGATGCCATGAGGATGCTGAACGGAGCAATGTTATCGGTCAGCGGAATGTACTCGATAACAGGAGTGGACTGATTGATAGCGGCTGGCATAAACTTCAGCTCTACAACTGCCTTGAGATTTGCTGAACTAGAGGGACTGCCCTCTAATAACACAATGGGACCAGTGAACGCCCGACCGTTACAAGACGTAACACTGAATCACAATGAAGGTGAATATGAAAGAACCTGAAGAGCTAGAACCCATGAGAAAAATAGACGAAATCAGGAGATTCTCAAACAAGGAGCCGAGACTCACTAAAGAGTCTATGGGCGCACTACCGAAATCCAGTGAGTGCTGTGGACCGATCAGGAAGAAGTCATACAGCTACGTGTCCGGAGTCATAGGGATAGCGTACAACTCTTTCCTGAGTGAAGACATACGCGATTGCTTTTTTGATTACGAGCAAGCATTGTTGCTAAGGTTCTGGACGTCGAGAATTGCAACGATTAAAAGCGCTACTAATCCGCAGACCAAGTTGGGACTAGTCTTGGAAGAAAAGGTGACTGCACCTTCCGTGCCAAAATCCGACAAACGAGTGGAGTTTGGATTGGGATTCTCAGATGAATTACTGAGAACGAGCTTGATGGTAATGTGGGAACTGATGAGACCAACATGGTGTCCTAGTCCCAATGCGGACTCGATACTACGAGCGACAGAAGAGGTGAAGAGGGAACTAAATGCAGACTGTAACCTGTGTGACCTTAACATCTTATATAATGTGATGATAACGGCCTCTAGGAGCAACGGAGAAGATAAAGTGGAGTTGCCTGGCTGGGGATCAGAAGACTGGGTCAAACCTGGTAGCTGTCTGGCAGAAGTCTGTGAACTGGAGGGTCACGTTTGTGGAAGTCTGGATTGCGTGAAAACCCTAGAGAGACAACTTAAGCAGTTGACGATATTGTTTGGGAACGTTATGATGAAAGCAAGGACGGAAACGGAACTGATCGCAGGTTGCCATGGAGGAACTGAGGTGAATCTTGTGACTGCACTAGGATTCTACAGCATGTTTGGTTCTTTAGAGTCACTATTGAATCTAGAACAGAAACGTGAGATGGTCACAGCCATCAGTGTAAAAGTGTTCCCAGTAGTTTTGCAAACTGAGCAAAAGTACATAGGAAAATGGAGGGAAGCGATTGAGACGGAAATGAACATCCGACACAGTGAAACTTATCGTAGACCATCATGAGCACGATATTTGGTGGGATCGACATTAGCTCCAATGTGCAAGAGCAGATACCCGGTGCATTTTGTAGCTGTGGATGTAAAAAGTACGAGAACGATCGTGGATCAAGCCTTCTCAGTGCCAAAGTGTGTGAGACTAACAAGAATGTCGGAGAAATCCTACGAGTTACTGTGTAAAATGTTCTCAGCAGTTCCAGAGAGAACAAAGGAGGAGTTGGAATCAATACTGGGGATGGAGTTCATGGGATACGTGAGTGGGAACTTCAGTGACTTTGAGAGACGGAAACAGAGAGGATCAACCGTTACAGATTACAATACAGTAGACGAGAATGATGAAGTCCACCGAGTGATGATGGAAGTGGAACCTCTACTGGAAGCTTCGGGAAAGCGTAATTGGAGGAGCATCATGTTGACACATGATGAGTTTCCCTGACACTGCTTACTGCAAACATGGTGATATCCCGGGCGTAGTAATCTGGCGTTGATCTGGTACTCTGGAGAGCTGCTCTCCATGGGTTTACCAGACTCATCACGGCCCATAACAACAGTGATAGTGGGAGTTATAGTGGCGATAAAGTGATTGGAGGCTCATGTGAGAGAGAACAATAGACAGGAGGCGCCAACGCGAGAACAATTGCAGAAGTTGGATTGTCTAAAAGATTTAGATCTTTTTGAGACAACGTGCAAGATTCTGAACATTCCTATGGAAGTAAAAAAGATATGGTCAAGAAGACGACTGATGCCATGGTTTAGAGCCAACATGACTGCATGGTTGTAGGAGTATGCAAAAAAGCACACATCGAACCACGGCAGAGTGTACAGTGGGTATCAACTGGACATTGGGGCAGGAGCTTTCAAGCGAGCTTTCGTGACTCATCGAAATGCCGTGACCACCGCGGTGAAGAGAATTTCCAGGACAATTGAAAGTAGTGGAAAGGAAAAAGAAGAGATGTTGAAGGAAGATTTGGAGAGAAACGTGACGTTGTGTCTCCACAACAGCTTCTGCAGGAACAGAGAATCTAACGTGGATCCCCTGCCTTGTTGTAAACAGAGGGTAGAAGAGCAGAAGTGTTGGAGGACTGCTTCCATCAGCGTCAGAATAGCTAACGATGTGTTGCAAGACACAGAAACTGTAAGTGCAGAGTCAATGTCACAGGAGGAGGAGACGGAACATTGACGAATGGCGGGAGAGACAAGACGCAAAAAAAAACAAAATTAGATCAATTAAGAAGTTTTAGAACTTCTAAACGACGAAAAAAGAAGAAACAAAGAGGTGACAAAAGAGAAGAAGTTAAAACTTAGAATTGTTTTATGTTTGTGACGAAAACTCAAGTGAGAAACTAAGCAACCAAGTTGTAATTGAATACTGAAAGAAAACATTTAGTTGAGTTTTGAGCATTAAAGAATTTGTTGCATTCATAATTTTGCATTTTGATTTTAGTTAGTGGCTTTAGAGACACTTAATATTTATTTAGAAAGGCTTGAGTAAAGAGTATATTTAAATATTCCAGCCTGCATGACGGTTTTTAATCAACTAGGAGAAGTGATCACTTTGTGGTGACATGAAAGGCTTGGGTTATCTCTTGAAGAGGGAGATTGTTTGATTTTGTTCTTTCTAATCACAGAGTTCCTTAATTTTAATATTCAGGACAATAACAACTAAAATTTCCGAAGGGAAGAAGCATAGTAGGATAATTTTAGCTTGTTGGTTGGCAGGACTGTCCTGCAAACTAACACCTTTTAAAGCCTCGGAGAAAAAGTTTCAAATCAGGGCAATGACGTTGGAAGTCAGAAAAAGGGTTTGTCTTAAGTCATATCCTCAAAGTGCAGATTATTGAATAAATTTAGAAGGCTATAGCACTGTAGTATGATGCCATTTAAATTCTGCAGTGAGTCGATATGACGCGGGTAAAAGTAAATTCGTGCATTTTGTAAATTCTGTTCGATGACACTGTACAATTTTTACGAATATTGCGAGATTCGATGGGGACATTGACCGGGCTGTCCGCGGAGTATGTGACATTCGACCAGAATGGACGAAAATGCAGTTTCGAGTTTTTAACAGCGAACCTTCCGAATTGGCGGTTTTGAAGGTTTAAGAGCGTTATTCAGACGATTAGACAAATCGTGAAGGCTGAAGGATTCGGAAAGTCCTAAATTTTAAACATTCGAAATGATGACGTAATAATTCTGAGAAACGTCAAAAACGGCCATTTTGGAGAAAAACCAAAATAAAAACAGAACAACAATAGTTGCGACGACGACAACAACGAGAAAATTGAGAATCAGAATTGGAGAAAAACAGAAGTAGCAGAGACAGCTCCGAGTTGCAACTATGGTTTCGCTACAATAGTTGCAAGGCCGTTGCAAAAAACGGTGAATGGTGGAAAACCAGCCTTCCGGAGGGGTCTCGGGACTGGAACCGATGTTTTTTATACAAACTTTTAGCTTCCCTATTATGTCCTGAAATGAATTTAAATAACATCTGAATTCATTTTACGAGGATGAGAAGCTGGGAGTTGCGGGAAAGGGTTGATCTATCTTCGATGGAGATGATGATTTTTATCTACTGAACAAAAACAATAGTAAAATAATAAGTAGTAGTAGCCCTGTTTTTAGGAGTGACCTCGTGGTCTGGGGATACTGAGACCCAGCCATGAGCTCACTATTTCTGCATGTAATTAAGTTAATTTGAACGTTCTGGTCGAAGCCGGAGAACAGTAACGTTTTTGTCGGCCGGATGTTGAAAAGATCACCAAAAGAACTGGCTTGGTAGAGACGGTGAAAAGCATGTAGAGCTCTGTTTAGACGTTGGCCAGTCGTCTGAGAACCTAGCTTTTTTTCCGTCGATGTGTACTTCCGACGGAGGGATTTTAACATAATGGTTTAGAACCAAAATGTATGTGAAATTGTAACATTCGCCCAAATACTACACAGCGACGGAGCGTAGAAAAAGTACCTATTAACGACTGGCAGGCGTCAGTTACCTTAATCCTACTCGTTTTTCACCGTCTCGACCTTGCCAGTTGATTTTCTGGTCTGTTTAGGGCTAAGTAAAAAGTTACTATTTTTAGGCCATCAGTCAAACGACTTTTGATCAGCTTTCGTTTACATGCGAACACAACCACATAGCTGAGTCTCGGATCCTCAGACTACGTGATTGCCATAAAAAACACGGCTCGAACAACCTATTTTAACATGTTTTTGTGCGACAGTTCTATATTAAACCCATTGGGGATGGATTGACCCTTTCCTCTTTCTAGCTACTCATATTCTAAAGTATCAAATTATACCGGTGTTAATTCAAAAATTTAGGACATCTGGCAGAATGGCACAAATATTGTAAATAACATATGTAAATTGATGTTTTATCGTCATTTAGATTAGTTTATTGTAAAAATCCTGACTATGCACATAGTTGCGAAAACGTTTGAAATTTACTTTTTAATAAAAATTTCTACAATGCATCAAATGCTGACTTGACTTAATTCTTGCAATATTGTCTATTGATGTATTTTTATAATGCTGGTATAGGCCCTATCCAGCTTGTGCACGACCGTACCTAAACGGAGGGGCCCCTTTTATAATATACCCTTTTTTGTAAAAAAAAATATGTGATTGTGTCATCCTGTCAAGTTATGACCTTCAAATTTTTCAGATAGCATAAAATGCGCAACAACTTGAAACAGTTCGATCTGGCTATTGTTGGCGGAGGAATAATTGGATGCGCAACTGCCATGCTTGCCAAACGAATGCTACCTGCGTCCACTCGAGTGGTTCTTATTGAGAAGGAAAACACAGTTGGTTTTCACCAAAGTGGAAGAAACAGCGGTGTTGTACATATGGGACTTTATTACAAGCCAAACTCACTCAAAGCTAGGTTATGCCAGGAAGGTGCATTTGAAACGTTCGCTTACTGCGATTCGCAAAAAATTCCGTACAAAAAATGTGGAAAATTGGTAGTCGCTATCAATCAGAGTGAACTGGGACGTTTAGAGAATCTTTTTCAAAATTCTATTAATAACGGAGTACCGGATGTAAGAATACTGGAAAATAAACAAGAAATTCAAAGAGTTGAGCCGAATTGTGAAGGCATTAGTGCAATCTACTCGCCTTACACAGCAATTGTTGATTGGAAAGTTGTCACAGAATCTTTTCGGCAGTCTTTTTTGAAAATGGGCGGTGAAATGATGTTAAATTTTGAGCTGATCGAATTGCGCCAATCGCCCCAATCAAGCCAAATTTTTCCGATTGTTCTGAAATCTAAAAAAGGACAATCTATCAGGTCAAGATATGTGTTGACATGTTGTGGTTTGTTTTCCGATCGAGTTGCCAAGCTAAGTGGGTCAAGTTTAGAGCCTAAAATAGTACCAATCAGGGGCGAATATTTGGGGCTGCCTCAGAGAGTTGCTCGAGGTCTTTTGTCTACAAATATATATCCTGTACCAGATCCTAAATTCCCGTTTTTAGGCGTTCATTTTACGCCGAGAATGGACGGCTCGTTATGGCTGGGACCAAATGCTGTTTTTGCATCTCATCGTGAAGGTTACTCCTATTTTGACATCAGTTTAAGAGACACACTTGAGCTGATAGCATATCCTGGTTTTCGTAAGTTATCTTCCAGGTATATAATGAAGGGTCTCGACGAGTTAACTAGTTCTGTTTTCTCGCGTCGTCAGATAAGGATACTTCAGAAATATGTCCCGAAGCTACCAGCCAGTGAAGTTTATAGGGTTTCGGCCGGAGTGAGAGCTCAGGCATTGACCATTGATGGTAAATTGGTCGATGACTTCGTTTTTGATTCTGGCGTTTCCAGTGAAGCAGAAGGTTGTCGAATTCTTCATGTGAGAAATGCTCCTTCGCCTGGTGCTACTTCTAGTTTAGCAATTGCCAAATATTTATTAGATAAAATGCAGAAATCATTCTTAAATTTGACATAGTAAATTGTGGAAAAATCTTTAGTAGTATGTTTGTATTCTTGCATTAGTTTAAATCTAACTATACAGTTGAGCTTGATGTGTACATTTGAAAAATTGTTGCGCGTTCGAGTCAGCCATGATATGGTGAACAGGAGAGGAGCTAAAGAGAGAAGTTAATACGAATCCAAATTTTTACCCATTTTTTTAAACGATAATAACACTTGCTACAGCAAGTGTCTTGTAATCGGGAACAAGACTTTTTGCCCTTAAACAACTCTTCTTACAAGAAACTGATCTGGCTTTAATATTGAACTTTAACAACTTTCAGGTTCCTCCCCATTTGGCCTGGAGGTAATGCGGTCGCTTTGGCACCCTAAGGTCTGGGGTTCGAAGTCCCGGCAGGATAATATTAGCAAGGTCAATTATGCCCTATCAGAACTATCCTGCCATTTCTGATATCAATGGTTTAATTGAAACTGCAGGTTGTCGAAAGCTTTGATGCATAAGCGTCTACGCCCTTTTAGTTTAGAAAAAAGTTGTGACTTCAAAAGTGTCAAACTTTTCTTAAAAACTACCCTATCAAATCGGAGACGAAGGATTCAATCGAATGAACCGGTTGCAAAGTTTTTTTTCTGCAGAAGCGGAGACTCTTTAACTTTTTTGCAAGAAAGATGTTCTGTCCTTTTCACCTAATTTATTTTTGTAGAGAAGAAAATTAAGGTTTTGGGCACAGTTCAATTTTCGCATTTTTCAAACTACGAATTTCATCCCGCATCAGTATAACAAATTCAAAAATTATCAAACCGGTTATTCCAGCTGTAGCTGGCCCCCTTGTGTTCTTTTATCGAGACATACGAAAATTTTGGTTCAGCTAGTTTTTTTTTCCAACATTTCTCACTTTTCTCGACTTTTTTTCAGGTTTGTTGTATTGCAAATGGCGCGAGGCTCCGCTCCGTTTCGGTGTCAATATTAACGCTCAAAGCGTTATCGAATCGGAAAAAAGACTTTTTCGGGTTGACAGCTAGTTTAAACATTTAAGATGCTGCTGACATGCTCAGTTTCATGAAAATTCAAATTTAACTAGCTACTAGTTACTGAGGGTACATGCTATATATTGAACTCAAACCATCGTATGCATACTTATTGAATTTCTATATTAGTTTTCTGTTGACGATTTTTCGGCTTCATGGTTGTCGACTGAAGCTCTGTCTGTTTAGGTTCCGAATTATGTAGTTCACTTTGCAAACACTATTTATATAGTTATCGTTGATCGTATGTAGGCGTTACATGCTACTTTTTCCAATATGATTATTCTTTCCGGTTGTATTTTTGAGATTGTTAAGACGCTGAAACCACTTTTTTGAATGCTCAAAATCAATCCCATTAGGACCTGTTTAAAAAATTTAACCATGAAAAAAGTTTTTTTTTTAAATTAGTTTTTCTACTTTTTTTTTCAATTTTAAAATCGTTCGATCAGCGTCATGGTGCTTTCATCCCATAACTGGTATCTAAAGTGGCGAGAAGCTCAGCTTCTCTGTGTCTCAAATTCCAATCATATTTCCGCAACCCCTTTCATAAACATCAATTCAATTCAATTACCTGATCCTGAACATTTAAGAGCAGCAAGGACAGACAGGCACAAACGAGGTCCCCTAAGCAAGGCAGAAGAAGATAAACAGACAGATCATGACAGTATCTGGGGACTTGCAGCATCTCAAACACAACTCGCGTTGAAAAGACAATTCTACAGTTGCACATACCATGAACAGCCCCATGTACGTGATCAAACACTGAAGGGTTCCGTGATTAAAATGTTTGATAGAAATTGATGCTTCATCTTTGGTGCTCTCAAGTTGTGCAAAACATGCATTTCGTACAGACACATATTATAAGGTTAATAGTTTCAACAATTTTCAAAACACCACAGCAAAAAGATCTTATAATACATCAGATATAGCGAAAAAAATTGGCAACTCCATTTTTATCCTTTATGTTAAATTCAATTTCTGGAATTCTCTATGTTTATAGCTGCCTATATTAAACTTCAACACCCGAAACTGCAAAACTTTGCGCATATTTTTGTTTAAGATTGGTTAAAAAAGACTTGAAGTTAAGTAGGCCAGCTTTTTGATTGAATGTTTCCTTGAGTCGCGCTTATTTCTGAAACTTAAGCACGAGTCCCAGGCTGCTAGCTTGACAAATATAATAGTGTTGCATGAAAACGGAAAAATTGAGTGTCGAATTTGTTTTGAGAACTTACATAATCATCTTTTTGTGGTTGAGTGGCCATGACGTTTTTTTAGTTGATGCTTTTTGAAAAATAGTAAATCATCTTGTTTTTTTTTTTCAATATAGTTTCAGCTCGCAGAGTCGAACACGTACATAGAATACTTCCAGCTGCATTTTTAAAAACATGAACTGCAGTGTTTTTACACCTTGCCTGCGGCCAGCAGGAAGAGTTTCACACTGGCGCTTGCAGAAATGAGGAAATTAATCGAGCTACACATTACCGATTTACGTTGACCGAAATGCGATCAAAGAACAATGAAACCAGACAGAGCAATGCTTTCGGTGAAACTTTTGAAGCAAGCATTACTAGATCCAGCCCCTCTCCCAATAGCTCCTGCAGCTGATGGCGGAGTAGCTGAAGCAGACCAGGTAGAAGGTTGGCCGAGTTTATAGTCAGGCCAACTTGCAATGGGATAGGATACTCCAGTGGAGGAGAAGTAGCCCAAATCAAAAACATGCCGTCGCAGAATGATCGGAGAGTTTCTGATTCTCAGGAAACGCACTACGAAATTATAATGTAACACGGAACTCGTAAAATTCAACTAAAAGTTTGTACGAAAATAAAATCAAAAAGAAAAATATATACAACCTAGAAACAAACACTTATTTTTTCGCTGTTAAACCACTTAAGGCAAATGAGTGATGCTTTGTAGCTATTTTTCCCAAACATCAAAATACAACGCTTAAGTGGATACTGGCTCCTGTGCTAGTGCTATCCCGTACCAAAGCGTTGAATGAAAATCAGCGTTAAGCCATACATTTTCCATTCATTTATTTTAAAGCTGATCAGACCTCAATCAATTTTTAACTGAACACAAAGTTTTTTGTCAACTTTGTTCGAAACCTCTCACGAACAAAAAATGACGCACAATCACAAATTGAATTCAAAAAATGAAATGAAAACAAACAGCAATCATAACAAATCAACATGACTTTATATCACAGCTGAGGATTCTCGTCGGCTGGGGGTGAGGGTACCTGTTGTTTGCAGCTTTGTTTTGAGCATCTTACGCTTGTAACCACATCCTGTAACATAGCCAACCGAAGATTGGAAATGGGTAATGAACACTAGTAAACATAAAAAAACACTGACACTGACTTTGTTGAAAAAATTAACTTTCGAATTGAACAAAAAGTAGATGCCCTTTGAGCTCTTTGAATTTTTAAAGCGAGTTATGATTGGCGTTTTTTTGATATCATTAACCCTACTTCAGAAAACTAGATCAACAGGTAAAGCTTTGATCCCGCTGGAAATCTTAAAATTAATTTTCACTTTCGAAACAAGAGATCGTCCTCGAATTTTTGCGCCATTTGCACGTTTGTGTTTGGAGAGTGCTATTTACGTCGCTTTCAGAAGATTAATTTCATTTGAACTCAAAAAGTGCATATATACCTAAGGGCATCAAAATTTCAAGGTTTTTTTCCTGAAAAAAAATCAACAGACATATTTAAGTGTCTTTACTACGTTCATCGACTTTTAACTACATGAGGAAATTTGGACTGTTTTAAGAGTGAGACACAAAAATAAAAAATGGTTTTAAAAAACTGATTCGAAAGAAATCTTAAAACTTAACTGAACAGTTTTCACCAAAAAACCTTGTAATGCTGAAATACGTAATCCTTAAGATAGCAACACGGTGAATCATTTGGATCTTAAACACAAACAATAACTGGACAATAACAACGACTTGCCTCTGCATGGGCAAAAGGAGATCCAGTTAGAAGTTAAAAATACTCATCAAATCAAAATTTATTAAAAATGCAAATTATTTTCCATTAGTGAAAGTCGAGATCGACGTAGTCAACAGATTATTATACTCTGACTGCAATCAGTTTTGTGTTCCAAGACAACTCCCAAAAGAAGTAATATTTGTTCTTCATATTTCACTGACTGGAGGACACCTTGAAATTGTTTTTCAGATTTGATTCTTGTCCTATGAGTCCTTCTCTATGGTTTTTGACGAATTGAACATCTGGAACAAGTTATCAAAATGATTCGGAGAGTAATAATGCAATTAAGCAAGTCATCATTAATATTCCGAAACCTAATATTTTATTTTTTTAAACTGTTGAGAAATTGTAAACCTCTTCTGGCTGACTTGGAAATTCACTATTGGGTTTCATTTCTCAGAACAAAACATGAATTTTCAAAACTTAATAGGTTAAGGTTAAGAAGACCGTTATTCAAAGCAACTGACGTGGTGAAACCAATGCCTATCGGAATGAAAACTTCGCACAGTGGAGGTAACTTCCCCGCTTGAAACGGCGAAAGCAGCGGTTTCCATTTTTAGCCAGGAGTTGTTTTTTTTTCGGAGAATTTAATCATCGGACTAATGATTGTCTACATATTTTTGTTGGCTTTTTTTCTACTCTTTCTAAATCTTGTATTTTTCTTCTGGTTCAAGCAAGTTTTTTTTTAATCAAAATTGGTTTGATTCGTTCCTGTGGTATGCGACCTTTGATTTTGTATAATTTTTTTCCTTCGTTTTTCACGTTTTTTTTAACCAAAAGGTTTATTCGGTTTGAATGGTTTTGGCTAATTTTTTTTATGCGAAAGCAATTGTCTTGTAATTGGGAACTAGAACTTTTTCCCGTACACCAATTTTCTTACACATTTGTAAGAAATTGTGAAATTGCTTTATTAGTAAATCTGAGCAAGTTTGATACTCCTACTCACTTGGCCTAGAGGAAAAGGGGACGCGTTTTTACCTCAAGGTCTGGGGTTCGAGTCCTGACCGGACCTTGTTTTTTTTCAGTATGTATGAAATTGAAATTTGTTTTCGGGAAAAATTGATTTTTCGCACTTTCGTCTGTCTACTTATGTTTCGTCGGCTTTTTGCCACGAGGAAATTTTTTGTGCTGTCAGAATTTTTATCGTAGATGCAAGTGATTTTGATTTACTCCTGTAATTTGTTAAATTATTTGCCTGATGTTGTATATTTTGCTTGGCTTTCCTTTTTGTTTTCGCTTAAAAGCTTTATTCGGCATAAAGAGTTTCGGCTTTTGATCGATCGGCTTGGTTACTTTTTTATGTAACAAGGGCAAAAATGACCGATTTTGAGCTCCGCTTCACCTCTATCTGTGATATGGGCTTATTCGCCTTATATTGCGTTGTTTCAAAGGCAAATATAGATATTTGTGTAATTCAGGAGGGAAAAAAGGTGTTTCACGAGAGAGTTGCAAAACTTAATAGCTCAAATAGTTTGTTTATATGGTTTTCGGTTAAACGATCGTCTACTCAAGTTTTGTCGGTTTAGGTTGCGTTCGATGAATTTTTTGTGTTTCCGGGAACTTTTTCTGAAATTGAACATTATTCTAGACAAACGTTTGAAATTTTACTGTTTTTTGTTTTCCGATTTAAGGGCCTCGGCCTCGATTTCCCTGTTGAACTTGCTTCGCAAGTGAAGCGACGTCATGCCACGGCCAGCGCACTGGTTGGATAAGGCCATACCAAAGCTACATATATTCATCAAACATTTTTTCTAAAATAGTACTAGATGCCTGTTTTTGTGTTTTTCTACAGTGGCTCCCTTTCAGATCCTTAGATGTAAGATAGTTGCGGCGCAGAAATGAACAAGCACCACAAGCATGCAGTGTTGGACCATGATAATACGGCCGAGCTCTTCAAGGTATGAAAAAGAAATTCCACATCCGTTAAAAAGGAGGCCAAGACAATTATTCAAGCTGTGTCATGTTTATTTTCAGCAATACCAAGACATGAGCGTCGACCAAAAGGCATCTCTCACAAATGAAGACCGACTAAAGTGAGTAAAAAATTTGACCAATATTGGCAAAATGAGGCGGATCATTTCTTGATATATGTTCCAAACCATGTTTTTAAGCGTCGATGAACGTTCTTATTTCGAAAATGGAATTTGATTTCAAGATTTACAGCGACATAAAAAACTCACCTATTGATCCAGTTTTGGGTTAATTTATCAAAAAAAATGGCCATCATAAGTTGTTCTAGAAATTCAAAGAGCCTCAAGGCCATCTATTTTTTTCTTCGGATCTCGAAATTTGAGAATGTCAGTTTTTTTTGTTTACTTGCTTTTACTGAACCTTTTACATTTGTCTGGTGGCTATATTTAAATATTTTGTTTGATGACAAGGACATATTCAACTTTTTCCTCAAGAGCAAAAGTGCAGTGGTTATTGTTTCGATCGCGTTGAGAAGGAACTGAGTTTCTGGGAATTTTTAAAATCAGAATCACTCATCATAAAAAAACGTCTGTTGGAGTGAACTGTGGTGTGAAATATAAGCTCATTCAGTCGTGATTTGGGCTGCAATGTTATTCTTTATGAAATTCCCATTGTTGAGAAAAATAGTTTCGGAGTTTTATCTTTCTGGAGCGAAGAGTGCATCACATGAGTTATCACCTTTATATCGGTATTTTAAGCTAATCGACCTGAATTATAAGTTTTTGTTCCGAACATTAGAAAGGGGAAAGAATTTCGCATTCGGTTTTTTCGTTTTCCACGTAAAATCTCAGATACCACAAATTATCATCATAATAGGTCGAATGATATATCATATCAATGCCCTTTCAGTCGTTATTCGAACGACATTAAAAAGTTTTAAAAAGTTGTCCCAGTGTCGAGACAAACTTTCAAAGTTTTGATCGCTGTTTAGTTCAGGTTCGAGCGAGCAATGCAAGGGAGCTATTTAATTTTAATTGCAAGCGATTAATTTGTTTTTTATAAAGTTTTGTAAATACAAAACCTTCCAAATTTCGAAAAACTTGTAGACAATTTTTTTTGTGATTTTCAAAGTTTTTTTAAAATTGCTTGTCGTTTTTCGACAAAAACTACTGTTCATTTTCCTTTTCTTACTATGACTGTTCAATGTGCCTAGTTTGAAAAGATCTAGTTTTCTTTCAGATCCGTTTATCGCACCGCACCGCGCACAAAAAACGAGACTAGTTTGAAAAAATAGAAACACGTTTTTTGTAGTTTCTGTAGAATATGGTCGGACCATGCTGCGCTAATTGCACAGCAGCCGACGGCTATCTTTGTTTATTTAGGATAGTAGTGTCCAAGAGGCTGTTTCCAAGAGGCTGAAATATACTCAATTCTCAGCCCCTTTTAATAAAAACGAAGCGCTTTAAAAAGTAATCAAAATTGTTTCAAAGATTTTTCTTTTGTTCAACAATACCCGGTATGGCATCTAATAAAAAGTTTTTAGCCTTACAAAGCAGTAATTCAACGGCGAGGCATGTAAAAATACTGTGCCAAGTAACGAATCCCTCGTTTGAGTTAGGTGAAAAATGAAAAGATCAGTTTTTTAATCAAGAGTCAATGAACGTAGTGAAGACTCGTAAATAGGTCGTGATGATTTTGGATTTTTTATTAACGCTCAAGCTTGATTTTTTGCGGTTTGACTTTTGATTTCTTGAGTTCAATTCAAAATAATTTGAGGAGGGCAAACTGCACTATCGAACAGTAAAATTATAAAGGTCACGAAAAATGTGATTGACTTCTAATTTAGGAAATGGAAATTAATTATCAAATATCCCAGCAAACATAAAAGCTTCACCTATTGATCCAGTTTTCTTGAGTTAATTTTATCGAAAACGTGTCAATCATGAACGTGTTTTTGAAATTCAAAGAGCTTTAATGCAATCTAGTATGTTCTTGGAGCTTCAAAAGATGAGATTTTTGCGTTTTTGTTCTGTTAACTTGCGTTCAATGACTCTTTTCAACAGTCTGTTGGCTATGTTTAAAATTTGTGTTAGACTAATGGCAAATCCCATGTTTGATTTTTGTTTGTTTTCTTTTTCAGGAAAAACCTGAAAATTTGTTCAGGCTCAACTTCATTTTTCGCGTTTTGATTTCTTTTTAAGTTTAGTTTATTTCCTTTCTTAAAAGAAGGCAAAATCCACTATAGAAGATAAAAGGTATAAAGATCACGAAAATTGACTTCAAGTTTCAAGAATTTTCAAATTTCCCAGCGGAATTAAAATTTTACCCATTGCTCCATTGTTCTCAAGCTTTAAGGGCATATATATTTTTGAAGTTCGAAGGTCTGTCTTTTTATGAGTGAACGGAGTGAAGACTGTTATATAAGTCGTGGTGACTTTTTTTCAGGAAAAAGTCTAAAATTTGTTCACGCTTAATTTTGATTTTTTGCGGTTTGTTGTAATTTTTGTTTAAGTTCAATTGTAAAAAGGAAGGCAAACTATCAAATAGCAAAAGTGTAAACTTCGCGAAAAACGTGATCGAGTTCTAATTTCGAAATAGGATTTTAATTTTCAAATTTGCCAGCGGAATAAAAAATTTACTTTTTGATCCATTTTTCTCAAAGTTAGTTTTATCAAAAAAGTGTCAAGAGCTTTAATGCCATCAAAGAACTTTAAGGTCATCTATTTTTTTGTCTGAAATTTAAAGAGCTTTGATGTCATATATTTTTTGATTTGAAATTCGAAAGTTTTTTCAATAAATCAGTCAATATTTTTTCCTGTTTCCTTGCGTTTATTGGTTCTTTTCCAACTGTCTGTTGGCTGTGTTTTTTGCTTTTTAAGATAACTGTGATCGGGAACATTCTGTGCTTCTAGTGCTGAAATCGGCTCTTTATTTACCTTTTTTTAAAGATTTTTTTTTAGATCGGTTGTGAGTTCATTTGCTCTTAAAAGCCATATACTGACTCTAATCAGAAGGAAGAAGTGGGAACTCTCAGAAATAATTAAGAAGAGTTCTTTCTGAAATGTTTGCTCGCAACCCCTAGTTTTTCAAACAAAATATATGTCTTAAGGTTGGTTGAACACGCAGTAGATTGCATGCAAAATTTGTTTAATGTTGGCAAATGGCTCTAAGTTAATTTTGTCTGTTCCAACTTTTTTCAATTTGCTATATATGTTCTAGATTCCAACACGCAGAATTACACGAGAAGCATAAGGGCCACGAAGCGATGCATGGGGAAATGGTGCTAATTCTGTTCATATCACTTGTCATAGGCCAATGTGTATTGTTCCACTGGCGAGCACGATACAACAAATCCTACACGAGGGCAACTCTTCTTTTCATGTGGACCGTTCCTATGTATTTTGTCATCACACACTACTGGATACGATTTCTGGTTGTCTGGGCGGTGTTCACGTTGCTTAATTTCTATGTGGTTTTCAAGGCCACTAGAAAACCTCTAGCAAACACTACTCCAAGGTTAGAGTCGAAGATTAGGAATGATAACAAAGTTAATGCTTACAAACGACATGAGCGTTTTTTGTCTATTTACAACGAACTTTTAATAAAAATTATAATTCTCGTTTCTGAGATTCCCAGCGGATCTTTCGAAGGCTTTGCAGCCTGTCTAAGCATAGTCAGTTTCTCTTATTTCCCCACATTCTGGACAGAATTATTTTGTTGAGCGAAGCTCTTTTTTGCGGCGTTTTTTTTGCGTTTAGAACTTTCACGTGGTACCACGTGCTTAAGTGTACACCGCGCGATCGATTGTTTCTCCGCCACCCGCAATGATGGTATGGAACTATTGCCTAGGGTTTGGTTTTACTCCACAGCTTCGAGGAAATCAGAGCAATCTCACATGTTATCGAGTGTGATATCATATTTAAGCCATTTCAATTGCAATTCAGATTTTGGAAAGATATCTTGCTAAAGTTCTCGGTTTACACTTGCAAAGCAAAGTGTATTAGTACGAACTTTCTTTTTTCCAACCTAAGTCGCAAATATTGGCGCCACTTTGAGGCACTTAACAGCTTTTTGATAGCATGTGCTTTGGCATTTGATTAGTAATAAGTTAACACAGTTGATGTATTTCTCATTGTTCAAATGAACAGAAAAAAGCTATTTGCTTTAAAATATCAGTACAATAAAAAAACTCGATTTCCAATTTTCCAACTCATGCATAATTTTCCAACTCTTGTTATACCATGCATAATATAGATAATTTGGCTTTATGCTTTCCATTTTATTACTTTCAAAGTAAGCGTAGATGCCTTCAGTTTGTTATATTCAAAATTATTACCTAAAATTTGTGTTTATTGGTATTTGGTGGCTATTTTGCTGCATCGAGCAGGCACTTTATTAGCATGTGTAGCTGCTTTATTGTTGGCTAGCTTTAGGGGCTTTTAAGCATTCGTCGCTGAGTGTTTAGTGCGTGAGACTCAAATTTCACCTGATAGAGCTGCTTTTTGGTCGTGTTCTCGTAATTATTTGCTAAGTGCGGCTTCGCCTCTGTGGTGAAATTAAATGCAATGACAAACCGTTGATTAATAAGGAGTTAATTAATGAAATTTGAGTGATAATTCCAGTAGTAATTCAGATAAAATGTAAATAGTTAGTCACCCGCACAAAGTTGCTCGAACAAATGACTCAAGGTCATGTTTCACCAGCTAATTTTAACGAAAATTGTCAACATGTCGGTTGTTAAGATAGCAAATGTCTCCTTCCGCTGTTCAACCAACTCCCGAAGAAAGTAGTTTTATGGCTAAATATGTTCGTCTCTCCGTGGTTCATTGAATGGTTACTGAGGGAAATACAAGCCCGATTATCAAAAAACCTTTTCGAAGGCCTATTGGATATGCGAAAGTCGAACTATGCCAATTGTGCGAACTATGCCAATTGAATGAACTCTCTTTTTTTTATTCAACCACGGCCTTGTGTTCTGCTTCGGCTGTTGACGTACATAAACAACACTGGTGTCTGTTAGAGAAACTTATTACGCCTGAGTTGTTACTGAGCTTGAAAAGTATCCTGGGGCTTTTCTATGGTCTATATTTTCAGCCCATTCCGCATCAGAAGAGCTATTCAGTTTCAAGGTCTTATCTCCCCTAAAGACTTATTATAAGCTTATATTTCCTAGCAGATTTTTTTTGGCTCAATTTTTGTCCAGCTTTCCAATGTTTTTCACGTGGGTTTTTCACAAAAGAATTTCAAAAAGAGGTTTGCTGGGTTTTTCAAAAAGAGGTTTGCTGCAAAGCAGCTATCGGGCCTGCATTTAGACAACCAGCAAGTCCTCGAACTTCTCATTTGTTCATATTTGCATGTTCTAAGCTACCTTCGAAAGGACAATATCCTTGTGTCAATTTTCACCTAGAGGGATTGTTATTGGCTTTGCTTCAATCATCCTAAATCTTTCTAACAATTTTTCGATTTACTTTTCCTGACTTATACTGATTTAGTTTTCTGAATTATCAGTTGTCTTTCCTAAGAACCAATTAAGATCACTTTTCTCGCTTTAATCAATTTTTAGAATTTTTTTTCAACCAGCTACAGAAATTATTGACCGCTCCAGAAGCCACTAAATCATCTACCCACAAGCAAATTAAAACTGTTATCTTTCGAATTCTTCATTCACAAGCACTCATCAAAGATCAATTTTTTCAAAGCCAATTTTTTCAAGATTGCCTTTTAGAATCCCATGCCAGTTTCCACCGGATTGTTTGAACCCTTAAAAAGTTTCTTCAAAAGACAAAGTGAAGTTTTGCCTGTTTCATCGATCTGCTCGAATCCTTCAAGTTGCTTCATAAGGATGTCTTCATCCTTTTTTGTTTTGAAGTTTTTTTATGATGTTCAGTTGTCTCAACTCACAACTTTTTTTAAACTCCTAGCTTAGAACTATTCCTATGATCGACATCTTTCAAGTAGGTCTTCACTAAAGAATCAAATTGTTTTCATTGCTTCTTTCCAATCATGGTCTGCTTAAGCTTGCTTAGTGTTTTTTTTGGTAAGTTTGTGAGTACTTCTCCAAAATTACTACATCGCCTAATGTTACTTAATCGTCACTTCCTATCTTTTTCTCAATTTAGAATTTAGATTCGTCAAAACTTATCTCAAAACTAAATCAACTTAGATTTCTCCAATTTCTTCATTCTCAATTTCGATCAGGTAAGTCTTACTATATTTGATGTCCCCAAGAAAATTCAGTTTTTTTGTGTTTTTGGCCAGCTTTTTTGTGTAATTGTTTTTCACAATTATGGCTAGATTTTTCTTCATTACGGTGTTTTACCTATAGCGGAATGTAAGCACATGTTCCGGAGATTTATAGCCATACTACGAGCATAAGGTTAGTTTTTTTGTTGATAATTTTGAATCGAAACTCTTACAGCGAGCCTTGGAGTAATCGTTCGCCACGCCCGTTCTATCTTTCTCTTTTCTTGAGGGGTATATGAAGTGGAAGCTCAATCTTAACTGCTGTTTTCTACAAAGTCGTCTAAAATTCTGACCGATGTACTCTGCTGCACCATGTGAGACTAAAATCTGAGGAACACCTATACCATTTACGAACCTGTGCAAATTTTCGGTTGCCTCATCTCTCGTCTTCATGAAACAAATTTTTAAGTCTGAAAAAACCCTCTACAAAACCTTAGGCATTTTTGAACCGGTAGCAGTGGTTGGATAGGGATAGAAAATGTCTGTGTGAACAATATCTAGTCCTAGTTGCCCTGGTGTAACGATCTTTTAGGACTGGCTTCTTTCAACGCTGTGTTCACTCAGTGCCCATTTTTGCTGCGTTGAATCCTTCTCTTTGTGGTGATGATTCCACCAAAGGCCCTGTCTTCGCTTCTCTGCTGTTTTCAAGTTTTGTTGCTCTGCTTTCATCGTCAGAGTTATCTATCTCTACAAGTAGTGTTGACCTGCTTCTATAGAGCAGCCGTGGCTAACTGGGGTAAGGTAAGCGTCTCTCAATGCGTTCGAGGGTCGTGCGATCGAACCCCTTTTTGGTCATGGCTGGAGGGGTCCCAGTGTCATCCGCCTCCTCAAGGTGGGACCTGCTACGGCGAAATGAATGGCACCCCCTCCCCCACAGTTGGTCCTGCATCAAGCAAGACCGAGGGCAACTTAAAAAAAACTGCTTTTATCTTTGCATTTGTCTATATGATTAGTTGTCTATCTGCCAGTAGTTTTCACCTGCCTCTATTCTAGAAGTTCTCTTTCAGATCAGTTTTCTATCTCGTGATGATAAATTTGGTCTGAATAATTTGGCGCTCGGAAGAATTTACCTTAATGCAACTGACCAAGAAGCGATCCCCAAACTTCGTTCTAATCTATTGTTTTAAAGTAACAATCAACGAAGGGAGGACTCTCATCATATAGGCCGTGATGAGTTTTTTCAGTTGCTCAAATTTGATTTTTCGTGGTTTGACTTTTGAGAAAACTGGATCAAAAAGTAATTTTTTATTCATCTGAGAAAATTTTAAATTAAAATCCATTTTCGAAACTTGAAGTCATTCACGCTTTCGTGACACTTACAGATTTGCTGTTCGATAGTTGAGTTCGACTCCTTTCAACAAAGGAAATACACTGAACTTAGTTTCGAAAGTGGATTTTTATTTTCAGATTTCCCAGTCGAATAAAAAATTTAGCTTTTGATCCAGTTTTCTCAAATTGAGTTAGTTTTATCAAAAACGTGTCAAAGATAGATTGTTCTAAAATTTCAACGAATGCAATCAATTTTTCCCTTAAATTCGAAAAGTGAGATTTTTTGAAAATCAAGTCTGTTTTCCAACTGTCTGTTGGCTATGTTTGTCTGTCTCTTAACAATATAAATTTTGTTTTTAAAAAAAAGAAAGATGAAAATGTTAGTTTTTGCTATTGAATAAGCAGAATGATAATATAGAGACATTTTAACTCTAATTTATAGACTTTTTGTCGAGTTTCAGGATAATGGTTATGATTTTCTCTACTGGTAGAAGCAAAAATTAATTTGAACTAATTCTTGTTCTGTTTGCAGATTGGTGTACAAGTGGTTCCTAATTATGCACAAGGTCAACTACGGCATGGGAGTGTTGGGCTACCTCTTAGTCATGTTCACCCTCATAGGGGTCAATGTCCTGTTCGGGGTCACCCCTGACAAGAGCATGGACTGGGGCCTCACTGTTCTCTTTTACGGACTGTACTTTGGAGTATTATCACGTGACTTCTCGGTGCTCTGCACAGACAAAATGGCAACAAGATTAGGCGTGAGTAGAAATGGATAACTTAAATTACAGTATGAAACAAAGCCCTGTAAGCATCCTTGAGAAAACCACGAAACTTTTTGTTCACCCCCACTGAAGGATGTGACGTTGGGTGTTTTTTTAAACCATTATTAGGTACTTAAAGGAAGCTCATTGGGTGTCAAATAAATTATCATATTATTAAAGCGCTATTTTTCGTGATGCGGATTCCAAAACAGTTGTCTGTGTCGAGAAAAATAAACTGGTCTTGAATTGTTGCAGACAGAATTTTCATACTGAATTTCCAATCTAATTCTTCTGATTTTTTCAATATTAAATTAATTTTGCTTGCTAATAGCAAGCGTTGTCTAATCAGAACATAGTTTTTTTTGGTTGACAACATAATTAACAAAATCAAATTAAATCATTTGATAGCTTGATTTAGAAGAAAATCAATTTCTTAGCTCCTCTGACATATTTAGTCAAGAAACAGCGACCATGCCGGAGCTTGTATTTTCCAACTGAAAGTTTCCCGTTTCAATAAAATTGTCGACACATATTCTCTCTGTCTGTGTTTTGTCGACTTTGTTGACTTATCACGGAATGTTTTTGTGCTGTATGAAATTTCATGGCAATTGAAAGTGTTTTTGAATTGTTCCTGCAAATTGTAAATCCACTAACCCCTGACTTAGTATAATTTCTTTTTTTGTTGCTCAAAAGCTTTATTCGGCTTACAAGGTTTCGGCTTATGTTATATCGCCTTAGTGACCTAATGTTGTGCCATTTGAAAGGATAAAAAATATTTTATATTTTCATGATTGCGGAGGGGGTTGGGGGCGTATACGAATATCAGGACTTATTAGCTCAAGGTTCTTATGACCAAACAAGTTTTTTTTTGCGGGATCAAAGGGCGTTTACCCAATATTTGTCGGCTTAGTTGCTGCTCGATAAATAATTCTTAATACTTATTGAATGTCAGCGGTTTTACTGAACGTGTTCCTCAAATTTAAAATTATCGGGACAAGCATATGAAGTTTTGTAGGCGTGGTTTATTCGACTTTTTTCACAAAAAGTATCATCCTCGTGGCTTTCATTTCTTTTTCTGTTGCTAGTTTGCAATGCTCAGCTTCACCTCTGTTTTAATTGATGAAGCGCAAATTACGCTCTCTACACACAGAAGTGGAAATTGCACACCAGATAGGACTGACTTCTCAAAAGAATGTTTTTGTTAAGTTTGTATGGACGAAATGAGTTTTCGTTTAATTAAATAGGTCGTGTGTTATTTCCAGGAAAAGTTTTGAAATGTTTAAAAAGTTTCAAAAGTTGATCTTGATTTTTGAAATCTCAGTGGAGTAAAATTGTTTACTTTTTCATAGTAAAATTGTCCATAATATCCAGAGTGGAGTAAAATTAGTTTATTTTTCTCAGAATAATTCTTAGCAAAAGGTTTAAAGACTGAACTTGAAATTAAAAGAGCTTTAAGGTGATGAAACTTGAAAGATGGCATCCGGGTACAAATTTTCCCACGTTAAAGGTTTTTGTTCACTCAATGGTAAATTTTACTTCTCCTGTGAATTTGATCAGCTGGCTTCTTATGAGTCAATGACGTAGTGGAGACTCTTTTAGAGATCGTGATGATTTTCCTTTTGTTTCAGGAAAGCAGGGAAAAAAACTAGAAGTTTTTCACGCTCAATTTAAAGTTTTTGCGGTCTTTGATTTATTCATATTTCAGTGCATTTCTTTTGTTAAAAGATAGCCAAACTCCACTATCGAACTTTTCCTTCAGTTCTTTTTCTTTGTTGAAAGAAAGGCAAACGCCACTATCGAACAGCTAAATGGCAATGGTCACGAAAAACGTGATCGACTTCTAGTGTCGAGAGTGGATTTTAATGTTCAAAATATCCCTGCGGTATTGAAAAATTATCTATTGATCCAGTTTTTTTTCTTGAAATTGGGTTATCTTTTTCAAAAGCATAATTTGTTAATGATTTTCAAAAAGCTCTTAGGCCATCTATTCCTTTCTTGGGAATTCGAAATTCAAAAAACAAGTCAGTATTTTTTCTCTTTCCTTGCCTTCGTTGACTCCTCTCCAACTCATTTTAGCTATGTTTTTAAGTTTTGAACTTTATATTGTTGCAAATCCGCGGTTCCTCAGATTAGTTCAAGACAAATTGATGCACACAATTAAAATGTTGGTGAAAATTTCAAGGTTTTTTTATCTCAAATTTTCGTTAAAATATTGAGAATTTAGCGCAAAGTTTTCGGCTTTTTGCCTCTTTTCGGCTCAGTTTCTGGACTGTTTTTTTTTTCAAAATTTCAATTTGAACCTAATCGTAATTTTGGTTGAAAGATTGTCAATTCAATTTTAAACTGTTTTGTATACATAGAGCATGTTCAGCCTACATTTGATAAACCTGCTTTGTTCGACAGGAGTTAAGTTTCAGTCTAGGATAGTACTTTTCCTGCAATAGAAAAATTGAGCGAGGTGAAGGAACTAATTTACGTTGCTCGGTATTCTTTATCAAACAAGCTTCCTAAAAGCAAACTACCCAGGCAAACAACGATCTCCAATTTTGAAAGTGAAAATCGAGTGAAAAAAAATCAATTGGTATTGAGAAAGTTTTTTTTGAAAAAGGCCACAATAATAAACGATTCTGGAATTTCATAGAGCTGTAGGGTGATGTTTTTTTTTCGTGGAAAAACGTTCCAAATATGTCAATCAGTTTTGTGGTTTCCTTTTCATTGGCACTTTTCTAACTTCTGTTGACTGTGTTAGGTTTTTGCCTCAAATTTTTCGGCTTTTTCGTTAGTTTTTTTTTGCAATCTACAGTTCATTTCAAAGAATTGAGTATTTCAACGGTTTATAATGCTGAGAGAATTGCCAAATAGTCTTGATGATTTTTTCATCATCCAGGTTTTTCGGCTGTAATTTTGACTTCCAGTTTTTTCTGTTTTTCAGCAGTTGATAATTTTGCAACTGATAGGCTTTGAAAGCCAATTTTTATAATTATGGAATCGTGGCTAGTTTTCGGTAGTTTTTGTTTGATATTTTTTGTTGCCTCCGAAATTTTTTGTTCCTCTACCGAAACGCGGTAGATCATTTCATTTGATTGTTATATATTCTGTAAACTAGAGTTTTTTGTTTTCTAGATAATAACGCTTTAAGGCGCCAAGGAAATGGCTGAAGTTAATATCTTTTTAGTGCCAAACTAGGAGTTATCTGTCTGGTGTCTGATTGCTTCTCACCCCGGTCAACTGATCATGTTATTTAGTTGCCTTATTTTCTGCAAACTAGAGCCTAGTGTCTTACTTTCTGTGAACTAGAGGAGTTTTTTCTTATTTTCTGACGTCCCAAAAAAGTGGTCGGTCCGGGACGCTAAGGAAATAGTAGAAGTAATTGTCTTTTTAGTACCAAACGAGGAGTTCTCTGCCTGGGAAGCGATTGGACGAGGACGTGTGTGCAGTATGTGGCAATAGACTCCTTGTTCCTCTGGGCGAAGAGGGCGTCATAGAGGACACTGTGAAACTACCATGTGGACACAAGTTGGTTCTGTTCGCTCTTTGAAAATTTTTTTTCTCCATCTTTCTAAACTCAACAATTCTTATCAGGCAGAAATTTTGATGTGTGGATTACACTTGTAGAGCAAGTGTCTTGTAATCGGGAACAATACTTTTTCCCGTAAACAACTTTTCTTACAAGAAATTGAACTTGCTTTATTATTGAACCTTACCAACTTTCAGGTTCCTTCCACCTTGGCCAGTAGGTAAAGCGGATTTTAACCTAAACACTGGAGTTTGTATCCCGGCAGGACCTTGTGTTTTTCAGTATTTAAAAAATTGAACGTTTTTTTTCCGGTAAATCGTGAATTGTCGGACTTTCGTTTGTCCGCTCAGGTGCCACATCACTGTTTTTTCTTGGTATAAGTTAGAAACAAGGTAGTTGAGAGGGTTGCTCATTGCACTTTCAGGGGGACTTGAAAATATTGTTATTAAAAAAAATTCGTCTCAACTGGTGTCTGCTCAAAAATTGTCGGCTTTGTTTCCGCTTCGTAAGTTTGGCTCCGTTGCTATTTTGAAATTCAATGGCTTTGCTTGGCATGTTTTCTAAGAATTTTTGTTTGCTAAAAACAGGTATTATGAAAGTGTATGGGATTGGGTTTTATCATTATTTGTTGAGACGCTTTGGATTTTGTTTGAAGTTTAGTTTTTCTCAAAAACTCCATCGCTTTTCGAAAAAGGGCCACCAGTGGAAAGACTGCCCAGTCTCCTGTGTGCCTGCATACTCAGTTTTTACTTTACCCCTGCATACTCCGTTAGTTTTTTTTCTTTACCGTCGAAAAAGTCTTTGAACCAATTTTTAGGATTTTTTTTCGTTTTCTCAAAATCATCTCTCCCGAATCTGAAATTGTGGGATCAATGGAGATTACGGATAGTATGAAGTTCCTCTGCATAAGCGTCATCTTCCGATTTTTTTACACAAAAGCTTATCACCCTCGGAAAAGAAGTCAAATGTTTGATTTTTTGAATCTTTGACTTTTCCCCAAAACTACTGGGTTCAATCCAATAAGGGTACTCGGCAGCTCTTTTGCATAGGCGACTACGCTCAAATTTCTAGTCCAAAAATTTATGGCGCTCGACAAAGTCACATTTTTGACCGTTTTGAAACGTTTTTACTTTTCTTGATAACTATCTTGCCAAATCTGATATCAAGGGTTCAATCGAAACAGCAGGTTTTTGGATTTGCTCCGCACAATTTTTTTTGGAAAAAATTTATGGCCTTTAAATCAGTCAAAAGGTTTTTGCGGCCACGCCCAATTTGTTTATCCGAAAAGTTATCGCCCTCGAGAAAGTGAAAATTTCGATTTTGACCATTTTTAAGAAAATTTTTGACTTTTCTCCAAAGCTACCATGCGAATTTTCAGGTTGCTCAATGCAGAAATTCATTTTTAACAAGCGGATACGTTCTACTTTATGCAGAAAAAACTATAGTTTTCGGAATGCCAAGTTTTTGAACTTCAACCGTTCATTAGAAACTTGACTTTGCCTAAAAACTACGCTATGAAATCTGATATGAAGGGTAAAATTGAAAGAACCGGTTGCCAGAATTTTTCCTGCTGAAGTGGCGACTCCATAATTTTGTAAGAAAAGGTGGCAACTCCATGTTTTCCGTTATCTCAAAAATTTTCTCTCTTTTAGTAGAAACAACCAAGGTGTTTTTTAGTCGTTTTATAGGAATTTTTTGATATTTCTGGAGAAAAACCCAACCAAATCTGAGACTATAGATAAGTTCGGTCAATCAAACGGGTTTTGTGAAGCTCACCTGCATAATAGTATACGCCCAATTGTTTTGACACAAAAATTTTCTTTGATAAGTGTTCAGTATCTCAAAAGTTTTCACTCTTCAATTTAATTGAGTAGAGAAACAACTAAGGTTTTGTGGCAAGTCCAATTTTTGGAAATCACGCATTTCATCCCACATCAGTTGAAAAAATTCAAAAATTATCATGCGCGCATCTCCAGCGTCAGCTGAGCCCCTAGTAATCTTTTATCGAGAGAAGTTTTTGGTTGACCTAGTTTTTTTTCAACATTTATCTTTTTTGTCTTCGACTTATACTACAAAAATAAAAAAATTAAGTCGAAAAAAGATGTTGATAAAAATGTCTAATTCTGAAAGATGTTGAAAAAAAACTAGATGAACCAAAATTTTTTATGTTATGTTTGTATGGCAAAAAGTGGTGCAAAGCTTTGCGCCGCCTGTGTGTTAAAAATGGTATGCTGATATGTTGTAGGCGACGATTCTTCGCAAAACAATTTCTGGATTCTTTTCTTAGTAGTTCAGCGAAACGTTTCAGATCTATTACCACAGCCACTAAACTCTAAATCATTTCATTTCGAATAACTTATGTAGTTATTATTGCTAATTGCCCTGTGATGATTAGTCTCTTCTTATAAAGAAATGCTACCAATTGTCTCTGCGACCAAGTGTCGATCATGACGAATGGCACTTAACGATTGAAAATATGACCGTAAACTACTAGCAAGGAAGCAACCTGATTCGAAAAAGAGTTTTTGAAGTTGCGTGTTTCAGGTTCCATGAGTTCTGCATACGTGGCTGGTGCATCGTCGGCAAAAAAGAAACATGTCCTTATTGCAACGAGAAAGTGAACACTAGAGACTTGGTGAAACACCCTTGGGAACGAGTGAACTTAATGTACGGACAGTTCCTAGACTGGATACGATATCTGATAGCGTGGCAACCATTGATTCTTTTATTCGTCCAGGGACTCAATATGACATTAGGTCTGGAATAGTGCAGGAGCTGCAGGACGTCATTAGCATGGGTTAAAAGGGATCCTTAATAAGCATTCTGCCCTTTCTGTTATTAATAAACCAGTGGTATGAAAACATTGGTAAGTCTCAAAAAGGCAGTTGGAGTTAATTTGTGAAGCACCAATATGCATTCATTGCCAGGTGTATTACATTTTCGTTTCATTGCACGTCAATTCGCCCTCAGATTTTTAGACCTCTATTTTTTTCATTCCATATAATAAATAAACCCCAACAAATTTCGGAACGGTTATTGTAGTAATTCAAACGATCATGTGATAGCAAGCGAATAAATTGCCATCGGAATTTTGTATTGAGTTTTTGTTAGCCGAAGATAGCCAACTGTCTTTTTGCCCAAGTTATGCCAGCTGTAAGTTTTCTACCAGTTGTCGCTCTACGTGCTTCAGCGATTTATGGTTGTTGTTTTACCGAATCTTAATTATTATTGTAAAATAGATACCGCTTGAAAATTTATTATTTAATGAAATTATATGAAATACTGTTTTCAGATGTTATATGTTTGGCTTGGTTTTATGCGCGGCGCTTTTTATGATATTATCGTAAATTTCTTTTTTTTTTGTAAAACTTGGGTTTATATTACCAGTGTTACAATGTTATTGTTTTCGTCAATGCTCATTTGTTATATTGTACTTAAAACTGCCTACCAAAGTAAAGAATTGAAATTATGATTTTCAGAGCCCAAGAAAGTTTTGAAGGTTAGAGTATTGTCCATTCTGCTGTCCCGGTGTCTGCTGTGGATTATCTTAATATTACACATGCCCGACTTATCGAATACGACATTGATTGTTTTGAAATGAAGTTAGTCGAATTTTCGAAAGTTTAATCGTCCAGTAGATGTTAATTTCGGCTTATGCACCATATTTTTATCATGTCGCAGAATATGAAATTAATCTTCTAAGTGTCCATGAACTTATTCAAAACACCTGTATAGGTTGTGTTGATTTTGTTTGTTTGTTCACGCTCAACTTTGATTTTTTGCGGTTTCACTCTTGATATTTTAAAGGTCAATTCCAGTTGGTTTGCGAAAAGGCAGATTCCGCTCTCGATGAATTAGAGTTCGAATTGCGCAATACAAACAATGACTTTTTTCGAGAACATGCTTCTAATTTTTTACACTTCCCAGCGGAGTAAAATTTTTCTATATTAATCCAGTTTTATCAAATTGGATTAACCACATCAAAAATATGTATCAAAAAATATCCATGAAACCAAAAAAGCTTTAAACTGATATAATTTTTAAGGAAGATTGAAAATTTTTTTTTTAAAGAAAAAATAATCTTTTAGCGCTCTCCTTGAGTCCGTTGGCTATTTTCCAACTGTCTGTTTGCTATGTTTTATCTGTCGAAAACTCTACGTTAATGATCGAAGTGATACTTTTAGGTCTTGTGATGTTTTTTATTTGTTTGTCTCGAGTCTTAGACTTTATTCACGCTCTTTCTATATTTTAGTAGTTTGACGTTTGTTTTCGTTTGGAACCTTGTGCGTAAGCCTTTACCAATGAAGCGAAACTTGCGCTCTCCGTACACAAAAGTAGAAATGGCACAGTCGATGGGGTTGATTTTTCAATAGTTTTATTTTGTTATCAAGTGTATCTGATCGAAGTGAATTTTTGCCCTGTATGTTTTTGAAAATGTGAAAATGGAAGGAAAAACGTACACGACTTCTAGCTTCAAAATTCGATTTAATTTTTAGATTTCGCAGTGGATCAAAACTTCTGCTTTTCAAATTGGGTTAGTTTTATCAAAATAATGTTCCGATCATAAATTGTTTAGAAGTTTTTGTAATAAACGAATCAATATTTTTTGGTTCCTTGTGTTCATGACTTTTTCCAATTGTCTGTTGGTTATATTTTTTGGCGGGGTAATGTAACCTCATCCTCAAGCTACGGGTACGGATCATAGTGTGCCCCGAACCTCTTACCTTCAGCTGATTAATTAACATTTATAAGCTGTTTTGTTAGGTTATTATACTTGCGAGCTTCGAAGCGCAAGTGTATTAGTACGAACTTTCTATTTTTTCTAATCTTAATTGCAAATAAAAGTGCGCATTAAAAGTGTTCGCTTGTTTACCGGCTCTTTGGCTATTAGCACGATCTGTAGCATAGCAAATTCCATAGCATCTGTTCTCTGCTTTATTTGTGGCTAGTGTTTTTGATTTGTTAAGCGTCAGTGGCTAAGTGTTTAGTGCATGAGACCCATAATGTCTGCCGTAGATCGAATCCGCAGCCGATTTTTTTTTTGCGAATTCGAGACTTATTTCTACTTTTTCTTATTGCACTTTCTAGAGCTGCTTTTTGTCGTGTCCTAGCTAGTGTTTGCGAAGCGCAGCTCATTTTCTGTATTCATTTTCATTTGCTCAAAATAAGTATCATTCAAATTGTTTTTGAAGTTGCAAGAGCACCAAATCTTTTCGCATGAGATTGCAAAATAGTTTTTCAGCTTTTGTTTGAAATTTATCCTTGTGTGGCTCGAAACTTTTGAATATGGAAGATTATAGAGCTGATGTTGGTTCCGTTTTGACGCCAGTGGTCTTTCCGGGTGTTTTGAATAAATTTTGGTTATTCTGGATTGAAACTGAATGCCCAGTAAGCATATTGTGACTACTAATGATTATTGACTAATTGATTTGACTAACGATTTGAAATTCAAATAGCTTGTAACGCACCTCAGGTGGTTCAAACAGATGAGTGAACGTGAAAGTTGCCGATAAAAATATAATAACGAAATGAATGCAACCACAACAATGATGAGGGAATCGAACATAGCTTTTGATTTCAAAATTTGAACTAAAATAGTCAAATCTCAAAACTACAGAGTTTCAGATCTTCGTATTTTTAGCTCATAAACGAAGAAACCCTAAAATGGCCGATAGCATACTATTGCTCATTCCATATTTATTTTTAAAAAATTGAAATTTTCATTTGCAAAATCATCAAATTTATAAATGGGATTCATTAACCTCGTAATTAATTTTAAAATATCCGACTCTTTTTTCTTAGTTTGATTGCAAGTTGAATGAAAAAATTTCGAAATATCGCAAAAAAGCCAATTTTTAAAAGTTTGAGCATTAATATTAGGATGAGAAACCGCACTTGCATTCAATGGTATTAAGCTGACATCACCCCACCAAAGGGTCGACAATATCAAACTTTGACAAGTTTTTTTTAAGTATTTTAACACTCAAGAAAGTAAAAGGCGTTGTGCAGTAATATGTGAAAATTTGATACACATCTTAAAAGTAGGTTGAGAGCGCACCGGTATAATTTTGAGTACTTCAAACTTTGTGAAGTTTTTGTATATCTGATGTTTTTTTTAATTTTGAAAACTTAAAAAAAGCATAAAAACGGCGTATCTCCGAAACTAAAATGATTTGAGCGATCTAGCTTGGAAGCAAGGTCTGCACCCTCTGAAAGTACCCTGAGGGTACCTCACTATAGGGTTGGGAATTTCAAGTTTTTAAAAGTTTAATTCAAATTCGTTTTTTGTTTTAAAACTTTGAAAAAATTTAGAAAAAGTATCATTTCTTGGCAAACAAAAGCATTTGAGCAGTCATCTTTGCAAGCAAGATTTGCAACCCTTGAGAGTTTCTCCACAGCACCTGACTACAGGGTTGGGAATTTGAAAGTTTGAAATTTTTTAAAACGAAGTTATCTGAAACTTTTTGAAAATTCCAACAATCAAATCGTATCTCGTAAGCTGAAAGGATTTTGTTCAAAGTTTGAGGCCAAATTTGCTATTCCTGAAGGAACCCTGACAACGTCCCACTATTCAGTTGCTAATTTCAAACTTGGTGAATCGCTGAAATCAAGCTGGAAATTCGAAAAAAATTTATTAACCATTGCATTATACGATTTAGCGAAGCCCGCATTTAAATATATAATAGATAAGTTTTATGCAGATTCACTTTTGATTGTGCTGCAAATGAAATATGTATTCTCTTAAAAAGCTTGCGGCGTCTTATTGGGTGTCATTTTTCAATTGGCGGTTCGTTGTTAAGTTTTGATAGCTTTATAGCCATTCGATCCATAGCTGTCGCTTGACGTGAATTTGTGTTATGAAGGGTAAGGTTAGAACAAGTGCTTTGTCTAAAGTTTTGACTAGTGGAAAGATTTTTTGACATTACTCAATGTGTTTCCGACCAGTGAAACGGGACGACGAACTTAGTATTTGGGAATTTTTAGTTTTTTTTTGTTTTCCACGCAAAATCAGACGCCATAAATAATCATTGGACTGGAATAAGTGATATACCATCTTAAAGCCTTTTGAGTCGTAATTTCGAAACGACATAAAAAAAGTATTCAAATTTTTTCATCAGTGTCGAGAAAAACCTGTTTCAAATTTTTGATTATTGGTTTCACAAAGTATTCCGTGTATCGAGAAAAACACGTTTGACTTTGTTGAGTTTTAGTCTCGGGCGAGTAAAGCGAATGAAAGATAGTTTTTCCCTTTGAGTGTTTCAGGACGGATGGGTCGTACAAATTTTTGACGTGTAAATAATTTTCACAGTTTGAATTTATTTTGGGACTATAGTTTCGTTTTCCGCGTAGCGATAGTCGACCGATTTTTGTCGACTGCTGCCGCTCGATAATTGATTTTCACTGTGTTTTAGGGCTGCTTATGAACATCTTTCGCGACAAAACAATAAAATTTTTGTTCATTTACTTTTTGTAAGTCATTTTTTAGCTTAAATTATCAGAACAATCGACTCTTCTTTTTTTTCTGTTTAATATCTTGTAATGCAATGTTTTGATTGTGTCGCAAGCGTTTTGAATCTCCGATTCGCTTCAGTATGAAACTTAGTTTTTCTTTAGAAAATCTAATTTTGGAAGCTTTACAACACGCATAAAAACTCCTTTGATTTGAAAAAAAAAACTTTCAATAAATTTCACCGTGATGGTCAGAACTTTTTGTTCTAAGTGCACAAAAGCCGGTTATCCTTGTTTTTGATCAAAATTTGATTAGTTGGGAAGTTATTTATTTAAGTCATGATGTTTTTATATTCTTCATGAAAAGTCGTTGTTCTCGCTTAAAATTGATTGCGGTTTGACTATTGGTTTCTTTTTTAGTTCAGTTCATTTCCTTAGAAGGAAGGCAAACTCTAATATCAAGCAGCAAAAGTTTAAAGGTTACAAATTGGGGTTTGGTCATGTAGACCGGGTATTTCTGACTCAAATACAGATGTGCTGCTCATAACTTCGGCCTGGCAGCATTTTCCACGATTTGTCTCTGTTTAATAAGCTAGCTCAGCAATTAGGCGGCTATAACCACCTGAATATATTTAAATTCTATAAAAGTTACTGAAAATGATACTTTTTAATATTTACACTGCAGCGGATCATATAAAAGGAGGGGAAATCCCCATGAGGAATTTGGCCCCGTGACGACCCAAATCACCCCACCTGTTGTTATTTAAAATCATTCATTTTTGGTCTAAATTTTTCTATATGTGCTTTCAACACCAATTTTGACAGACAAGCAAGCGCCAAAAAATAACTCTTTTTCTAAGTCTGCCGAAATTTGTAGTTCCGTTTTTGCTAACTTAAACAAATCTGTGTTAATCATCTTATCTTGTTTACCCTTGCGATCGGGTTCTAGATTTTTTCACTCAAATAATTTTGTTAACAGGATTCATCTCCTAGACTCATTCATCTACTGAGCGTTTCTGTTACAACAGAAAAATTTTGAGCTGGCTAGCATTTTATATATCCCGACTGATCGAAATTTGCTTTTTAGGTTGGCTGTAATTTGCCAACTCGATTTGTTAAATTTTCTTTAATTTTTTTGTCTTTTGAGTTCAATAGGTTGTGACTTATTTTATATCGACTTAGTGGCCTCTTATTGCGTCGTTTGATGACCGAAAAAAGTTTTTGTGTGCGTTTATGTGTGTTCTGAGGGAAAAGGGGGCTTGAAGTTATATTATTAGAAAAGAATTTTTCCGCAGAAGGGTTTCTGCTGAGGTATTTTCGGCTTCTCTACCGCTTGGTAATTATGAATTTTAATTCAAGCGAACATCTGGCGTAGCTGCTTGACGGTAAAAGCTTGTAGTTCGAATCCGGCCTGGACCTATTTTTTTTGCAAACAAGAGTTTTTATGCTTTTTCGGACCATTGTCCGTCTGTTTTTGTATGTCAGCTCAGTTCCCATAGCCGGACTCTTTTTCTTCTTTGTTACTGTAATACCCATGCTTGAGACGAAAAAGCCCGGGAGTTCGATTCAATTCGAGCCCTTTTTTGCAAACTGTTTTTGGCTAGTTTAGATTACTGTCTGTTCGCTAAATTTTGTCGGCTTAGTTTCGCAGAAAGGACTTTCATTTGAAAATTCGGTGTCTCTCGAGCATTCCGAAAGCTCCTTGTTAATTTTTTGATAGTTCCAGTTTGTTCCGCACATTTTGGGTTCTTTTCAGTTTTTCTATTTTTTTTCATTTGATTTTAATCATACTCATTCATTTTTGTATCGCAAGTGATGGGAAGCTCAGCTTCGCCTCAGTTAAATTATTGTGAACATCTGTGTAACGTATTTCGACGGTAAAGATCTGAAGATACATCAAAACCTGGTCAAACAGAGCAGCCTGCTTTAATGACTGTTGGATATTCAAATCGTTCTTTACCTCAAAGCCAGTTGAGAGTTTGTGTTTAACTTCAGATGTTGACTCATGCTTGACATGAAGCAATATGAATGAAACTGATGGGAGATGAACTTGTCATTCAATTTCGTTGAAATGTTCAATTTATGATAAGTTATCCTGAACTGCATCGTGAGAGTGATTTTCAATAGCACCTGTCTCAGGGAGCCTCTTGTAATAGATTAAAAAATACATGATTTATCAGTTTACTTGAAAGCGAAGCTGGAACCATCTTCTGAAACTAAACAGAAGATTTTGAGCTCCTTGAATCTCACTAAATTTATTTACGCAGTTGTTTGTCTAAGAACAGAAAAACATCTTTTGAAGTCTAATGAGAGAAGCGATTTCGAGCTCTTTAATCTCAACATTCGATGCGATTAGAAATATTTTGGACTTAATGTGAGATGGAGCAATTGAAATGTGGAGTGCAGAATTACCATTGGGGTAAGGTGGGGGAAACTAGTTTGGTGGCCAAGTTAGCCCTCAAAGGGGGTCACATTGACAGCATAGACTCACATGCACCCTATGCAGAGCTGTGGATGGGGGGACATCCGAACAAACCTTCACAAATTTTGGGGTGAGTTCATTTTGAAGTCGGTTTTTTATCACCGTGGAAATCCCGTAAAAAAGAGAAAATAACAGAAAAAATGCATGTTCCTGAACAAGGGGAACAAAGGCGTTTCTCTTCAAAGTACTGACCAGCTCTTGTTGGTCGTTTCTTTCGTGGATAAATGGTCCTAGTTTGCAGGCCAGTCGATTTTGAATAACAGTGCTTTTCTGGTGCGCATGTTCATATTTCAAAAAAAGATGTTGGAAAAAGAAAGTTTCACTGATTGTGATCATGTATGTGCTGTGGCTTCCACATAGATGGTGTAATACTGTAAGTGATAAAGTTGAAGTTTAGAAGTGGCACCAGCATCATTGATTTCATGGATGAAAACAAGAAACAGTTTGGAGGCGAGAGTAACCTCAAATATCTGTTCAAAGTTCTCTCTATCAGCCAACCTCTGTCCATCCAAATTCACCCGGACAAAGCATGGGCCAAAGTTCTTCACAAAGCCAAACCAGAGATCTATAAAGACGATAATCACAAGCCAGAAATAGCAATTGCCTTGACTCCTTTCAAAGCTCTTTGTGGGTTCAGAAGTCTGAAAGATATCAATGAAAATCTAAGTGCAATTAGTCTTGCCAACCCGAACGCTCAGGAATATCTAGGCTTGTTGGTACTGAAAAGCGAGATGGATTTAAAAGCAGTGTTTATAAAACTTATGGAACTTGAGGCGGAAAAGGTCAAAGCCTTAGTCAGTAGTTTGCTAGCGGCAGAAAATTTTCCTTATAAGGAAATTTTAACACAATTACACGAGTTCTTCCCTTACGACCGTGGATGTCTTTGCTTGTATTTTCTGAACTATATCGAAATGAAACCGGGAGAAGCAATTTTTCTCGAAGCCTTGACACCTCATGCCTATATAGAAGGAGACTGCATAGAATGTATGGCCCTTTCTGATAATGTTGTGCGCGCTGGTTTGACACCGAAACTTATCGACGTGAAAACTTTGCAAGAAATCACAAACTACAAGTTTTCAACTGAGGTCGATTACCGAGTTGTTCCGAAGTGCGTGACTGAGTTCAATAAAGTTTATCTGCCGCCCTCTATTGACGAGTTTTCAGTCCAGTGTTTGAAACTCACGAGAAGTCACTCGGAAGCGTTAGCTCACGACAAGTATACTCGGATTCTACTGGTCGTCGAAGGGGATATTGAGATTAAACATTTGGATAACCAAAAAGAGTTATCCTGTGGCGCGGTTGTGCTTTTGTACCCACAAAACGATTACACAATTGCATCGAATGATCAGAATTCACTGGTGTTTATTGCATACTAATTTCAACAAAAATTCTAAGCAATATGATTTCTTATCCTAATTTGTAGTTTGTATTTTCATGAATAAATTTTGGTTTAGGAGTAAAAAAATTACTCAGAGAGCGATAGCTACTCTTTTTGTTTCGGGTTTGCGATCAGACTCCTTAATTGAATTTATTCATGATTTGATTTGTAAAATATGTAGATTAACATCTAACTTAACAATAACTGTGGCAATAGCTGTAAATTGATGAAATGATTTTGTTTTGCATTTACTTAAATTTTACTCCAAGGTTTTTTAACTATTCCCAAAAAAGTTCAACTGCACAACAAAGTAATTGAAAAGTAGAGCTTTTCTCAGACAAATCACTGACGTCTCTGTAAATGACACTCCGAAGATTCAGGGCTTTGTCCTGGTACCAGCAGTCTTGTTTGTTTTAAATTACTGAAGAAAGAAGTGACGTAAGTTAGTGAATTGTGAGAGATTTTCAAAATAAGCCGTGAAAGACGAGTTCGCTTTCCAATGCAAATGTTTTTGAGACTTAAAGTCTTACCTCGCAAAAAGTACCAATTTTTGTCTAGTTTTAACGCTCATGATTAGCAAGCGCTGTCAAATTGGAACTTTTTAAAGCTTAACGATGTGATTGCAATTTCCACACGCTTGGTCTGAGGGTGACTTCATGCCTGGCGCTACAAAGACTGGAGTTCGAATCCGATCGGTACCTGTTCTTTTTCCAAACTTGAAATTTTCGTCTTGAAAAAAAAATTGTCGGAGTATCGTTGGTCTTTTTTTTGTCGGTATAGTCGCCAGCACGGATTTTTCCAATACTGTAAGCTAATTTCACGATAATTGAGAGTCAGTTTGATGTTTCCTGCACTAGTTCAGGCAATGGATTTTCAAGAAGTCTCGCAGATGCTTGAAAAAGTATCCGGATATACAGTTTTAAGACGATTTTTCTAAATTTTTCTTTGTTTTCATTCTCCTCTCAGCCATAAGGCAGGAAGGAAGAGCTCCGTCTGAAACTTTTACTTTTGCACTAAAAAAATTGTTGTAAATCATGAATTTATCTGATTGCATAATTTTTTTAAAATCTGATTTGTGCTCATTGGTTTATCACTCTCACTGTGCATCCTGATAAGTTTTTATCCAATGATTTAGCAGTTAACATTTTTTTAATGATATCTCTTTGGTATTTTTTTCAAACTGGTTGAGTTTTCGACTTTGTCGCTTTCAGTTTACGTTGTCGGCTTAGTTTCCGCTTTGTTTTAACCATCCAGCCAAATCGCTTATTTGAATTTTAATTTATATATTATACTAACTTTTATTTTTTGATTTACCTCTGCTGCTTTTTTGTAATTTTTTACACCTTGACATCGTATATATTTCTTTTTTTTATTGGTTTTGTTTTTTCGATTAAAACTTTATTCTGCCCAAATGATTTCAGCCTATACTTTATCGGCTTAGTGACCTAATTTCGAGTCGTTTCAATCGAAACATATTTTTCATGCTCGCCCCTGGGTTGTACAAAATGCTAAACAGCTTAATAGAAATTATATTTCAAATTTTTCATGACAACAGTTTTTTCATCGCTTTTTTGTTTTTCCCCTTTTTTTCGGCTTGATAGGTTTCGGCCTATTTTATATCGGTCTCACATTGCGTCCTTCGCCGAGCGAAACAAAGTGTGTGTTTGCGTGTCTATGTTTTGAGGGCGAGGGGGCCTAATAACTTCTTATTAGTCTAAATATTTTTTCAATTTTTTTTTCGTTTTTGTGCTTCATAGGTTTCGGGCTATATTATATCGGCTTAGTTGTTTCATATTCTTTCATTTGACGAGCAAATAATGTTTTTTGAGTGTTCTGAGAGTGAGGGTGGCTTTTCATAAGTCTTAAATCTTGTTGATTATTTTTCGACTCAAAAGGTTTCTGCCAAGGTATTTGTTACCGCTTGGTAAATTATCTTCCGATGCTTATTTCATATTCTCAAAACTAGCTTTATTCATTATGATAGATCTATATTTTCGACATTACGATTTTTTTTCTCTTGTGTTGTGCCTCTCTGTCTACTACTTCGCAGTCTTTGAAAAAAAAAAATTTGTCCGAGCACTGCTGGTTTTTATAATTTCTATGGCATGTGATTGGAAGCTCCGTTTCGCCGCCGCTGTAAATTTTCTCTCAATTTTTCCTAAATTTGACTAAAGCTTTCATGTCATTTTTAATGATGAACCAGAATAGGCAAGTTGATTACGTAGGGCTTAAAATAAGGGAATTTTTGTGGTAAATTTTGGTTTTTGCTAAAATCAGCGGACTTATAGTGAAAATGAAGCTATCAAGACTTTTGAAATGTGTGAAATCACAATGAAAATGTTTCTTTTCATCGTCGTTTGACGACTTAAATATGAAATTTTTTAACACTGATGCATATCAGAATCGGCGAGTTGTTGGTAAGTTTGTTGTTCCGACCATTGAAAATGGGGATGAACTTGGTATTTGGGTGTTTTTAGGTTTTTTTTTGTTTTCCACGCAAAACTAGGTCGAGAAAAACCGGTTTGAAATTTTTGTTTTTTTTTTTCGTCTCATTTTGAACAAATTAAGCGACCAAGCATGCTTACATCAGCTTAATTATGCCTAATTTAAGGCCTAAAATATTAGCTTAAAGAAAGTAAAATTAGTTTTTTTAGTTTTTAGCTCCATATTAGGAACCAAAAACTTCAGATATGTTCAATAATGTTCTGCAGAAAAAATAGGAAGTGAAATATATTTTTTAAATTTTTGAATTGGCCTATTTTACTATGACTTTCGAATATGCCTAATTTATTGTTGAACATCAGATCCCTTCATCACACCACGCAGAAAAATGTACACCAATTTTATCACACCACGCAGAAAAATCTACACCAAGTAGAAAAATCTACTACTTGCACAGTAACCGGCTATCTTTGTTTCATATTGTACATGCATGTGACGGGCCCACATTTTTTCGGAACAAAATATGTTGCTTTTCCTCTCGTTCGAAATAAATAATTGTCTTATGACCGCAAATGCGTTTTTATTACAAACCAAAACTGACAGTTTTCTATTCAAAAGATTTTTAAGTATTAACGAACGAAGAGTGTCCCGTACGAATTCTCTAAAGGCAACATGAGTTTATAAATGAGTAACAAGAGAACTAAGAGGGGGACAGTGAGGCGTGTGGGGGGACAGTTATCGCACCAAATCCGAAGTAGCTCACAGGAGATGATAGAGAGGGGGCGATTGAGAGTTCTTATAATGGTATACGTATCGTTCTTTACCCAAAATGCTTGTCTACCTGAGACATAAGAATTAAAACCGAAACATAGAAAAGGGCACTTAGCTGAATGAATACTGGATCTATTTGCTAAAGTAATTCAAATTGTCTTTTTGGGAATTGATTTTTAATTGATGTAGTTGAGATTTGTCGTTTGTTCAGTTGGCAATTGACTTTTTGGTAAGTTTCTTTTGTTGTCTGTTATGTTTTTGACACGTGCGTCAAAGTGGCGGGAACAAAAAGTTTTCTTTTCTGATGCCATGATCTGTTTCAGAAAAAGAAAGATTTAAAATTCGTTCCTACTCAATTTGTTTATGCTGGTCGATTTGACTTTAGATTTGTTCTAGGTTGTGTTTTATGCATCTGCTATATGGAAGGCAAATTACGTTCTTGGAAAATAAAAGTGAAAATGGTGAATGAAATGTAAATTGATGTTTAGTAGCAAAATTGAGTTTTAGTTTTGAGATTTTTCCTTTGAAACTAACATAATTTGAAACAGAATCAAAAATTAAAATTTTCAGTTAGGTTTGTCAAAAAGATAAAACTATTGATAAAAATTCCTAAAATGCAGACTTTCGATGTTTTTTTTTCATTTTCTTGGTGGTTAATAATTTGGTTTCAAGCCTGCTTGCAAGTGGTTTAAAATCAATTAAGCTTCGGTAAGATGAAGATGATTAAAAGCCCAATACTGCAAGATTCAATTTGGACGGGAGACTTTTAATTACTTTTTTTTGCACTTGCGATTAGCGAGTTTAAATAAATCGGGCATTTAAATGAAAGTTCAAATCCGTGACTGTTTTTGAAGTTTTTAATGAATCTTTTCGCCTGTTTTGGGTTAGAACTAACTTTTTTGTGAATGAGGTATATCATGTTTTCTTCACAGCCTCTTGCGGGGGAATCTTGGAAGCTAGATGTTGTCTCTAATCATGAATTGTACCAAGAACATGGGGTCAGTGTTTCATCTGGTTATGAACTTCAACTTATTCTTAAACCCATTATCTTATCTATGTAATTGATCATCAGATTACGTCTAACAAATCCAATTGACGTATAGTTCTTCTGCAATTATTTGATATGCAATTTTTAGTATTTTATGTAAGGATAAGCTAGCAGCATAGCAGAAGTCTTACCTACATGATTCGGTAATTATTAAAGTTTTACGTTTATCTTACGAACTTCAATTTCACTGCGTGACAGTAAATGATTTACTGTGCAGCTGTTTTCGTTTCCTTGTTAACATAAAACAGGCTTCAAAGCGTTTTTTCTGAATAAAGATCAAACATGGGCACATAATCTATAATCCATAAATTATTTGAATGCGGGCTTCACTATCTCGCCACGTTAAAGATTTTTCAACGAATATTTTTTGCATGCTTAACGAAAGAATTTTTTCAAGTTTAAGCTATATCGTATATTGCAATGGTTAATATTTTTTGATTTTTCAGTTGAATTCAGTGTTTTATTAAACCGTGTTTAAAATAAGCGACCTAATAGTGGATTGTTGTCAGGGTTATTCCAGGGGTTGCTAATTTGACTTCCAATTATGAATGCCCAAATCCTTTTGATGTACGAGTTGTGAAAGTTTTTTTTCAAAAATTTTCAGAAAACCCAAATTACAAAGTAATTCATTATTATTTGAAATTTCGAACCCTGCAATTGGCTGCTGTCAGAGTACCCTCAAGGGTTGCGAATCTTTCCTCCAAATGTGACTGCTGAAAATCTTAAAGTTCTTGAGATATGACGTGTATATGATTTTTTTTTCAAAAACTTAGATATAAAAAACTAAACAAAAATTGAATTTCTCAACCGAAAAGTGGGGGCTGTCGGGGTAAATTCAAAGGTTGCAAACCCGGCGTCCAAGTATGACTGCTCAATTTTTTATGGTTTTCGAGATATACCGTTTTTTATGATTTTTTACAATGTTTTTCAAAAAAACTTAGATATAAAAAGATTTTCAGATTTTAAAAGTTCAAAAAAATTTGAAGCTCCCTTTGTTGTAGTTAGGTACTCTGAGAGTCAAGTTGCAAATCTTGCTTCAAATTGCGATTGCTCAAATGCTCATGGTTTCCGAGATGTCACGTTTGTTTTTTTAAATATTCAATGAACTTAAATATAAAAAACTTCAGAAAATATCAATTCCCATCTCTATATTGAGGTTTTTTGGCCAGTATCAGGAGTTGCAAACGTTGCCTCCTAATATGACTGTATCAATCTTTGTTGTTTTCCATGTGACGTTTTTGATTTTTCAGAAAATTTTCAGAAAGCAATCTTGCCTCCAAATTTGACTGCTCAAAACGTTGTACTTTTTGAGATATGACATTTCGTATGGTTTTGCAAAAGAATTTTTAGAAAATTTAAATTTGAAGTTCTACAAAATTTGAAATTCTCCACGCTGTTGTTGTTGTTGTTGTTGTTGTTGTTGTTGTTGTTGCCTTCATCAGGTCGTGGGGTGCTCATCCTGTTCCACGTCGTCGTGAGTTGTTAGGAGTTTCAGAAAACCGGCCGCATCGACGGGCCTCGTCCAGAGTGATATCGTGGTTAGAGATGTAGGGGTCGAAGGGCATGAGAATAGGTGGGCCGTCGTGTGGCTTGTAGAATCGCAGAGGGGGCATAGTTCTGACGATGACGGGTCCTTTCTAGGTTGATATGAGTTTAGGAATACGCTGTAACCACAGCGGAGCTGGGATATTGTCATCCTTTTCGTTCTTGGCAGTTTTTCCTCTGATTTGTCTATATTCGGGACTGGCGCGTTCAAGATTGCAGTCTTCGAAATTGGCGATCTTGTCTTCTACTTCATTTGTGTGGATCTGTTTGAGCAAGCTTTTGTAATTGTCGTCTGATACAGATCTTGTGGGCACGAATATGTCGTCGTCTGAGTCTTCTGAGAGGGCTGAGATGTAACGCTCGTATCTGGAGTGTAATGTGGCCTTCATCTGTCGTCTGGTGGGAGTAGCGGCATTCAACAGACGTTGCCCAGGGTAGTCTTTCAGATGATTCGCTAGCTGCATCTGCACCGTGTGCATCCGGATGTGTCGTCTGATGGGCAGGATCATGCTCTCACTGTGGAGGTGTTCGATCGGTGACATCAGATGGCATCCGGCGGCGATACGAAGAGCGGAATTCTCGACAGTCTGGAGACGGTTGATGTTGGTGTCCACGATGGTGGGTGCCCACACTGGTGCCGCGTATTCTAGAACCGGTCTGACGATGGCTTGGAAGGTTATCAGGAGCGTTTCCTTGCTTTGGCCCCAGGAGGTCCCAGATAGCGCTTTCATGATGTTGACTCGACCCTTGGCCTTAGTTGCGGAGTTCTTGCAGTGCGGTGTGAAGGTGTACGCTGTGTCAAAAGTGACACCAAGGATCTTCGGCGTCTTCACAAGGTCCAAGGTCAGGTTGTTTATCACGATCATGGGTGTTAACTTGTGTTCTTTCGTGTTCGGTGTGCAGAGTTACTGAGCATTTTAACGTGGATATTTGGAGATTTTCCTCCAGGAAGCGACAAAGGGTCTCCAGGTATCGGTTGATGTCATACGTCATGCGCGCAATGTCGTTACCAACTGCAATAATCGTGAAGTCATCCGCGTACGAAATAGGAAAAAGTGACGTCGGTGGAATTGGCACGTCAGATACATAAAAATTGAAGAGCGCAGGCGCGATGACAGAGCCTTGGGGCACACCCGTTCTGAAGATGCGGGCGCTCGACAGGACATCTCTGAACAGGGTGCGGGCTTTACGTCCGTGGAGATAGGTCGAGAGCCAGCGTACCACAGCTCCTGGCAGTGTCGTTTTGTTGACGAGATCGAGCAGAGTGGCGTGACAAACGGTGTCAAAAGCTTTTGACAAGTCCAACGCAAACAGAATGGTTCTGTGGGCGGGTTTAGGTTGGTTGAATCCGTTGGTGATGGCTGTGGACAACTCGTGTAAGGCCGTAACAGTTGAATGTCTGGGTCGGAATCCGCGTTGGTGCTTTGATAGCTTCATGTGTTCATTCAAGGTGGGAAGGAGGCACTTTTCTAGAATTTTGACAGCTGGCAGCTGACAAAGAAGGGAAATTGGTCTGTAGGACGCACTTTCATCTGCAGGTTTGCCAGGCTTCAGAAGAGGCAAGATGATCGATGTCTTCCAAATGGCTGGTATCTGAGACCTCGACATCGTCGTGTTGAAGAGTTCTGTGAGGAACTGGAGAGCACGTGGTCCTAGGTGCTCAGATGGATCATAGTGTGGCCATCGGGGCCGGCTGCTTTGGAGCTATTCGCTTTCTTGATAGCTAGGCTGACTTGGGAGGCAGTGAATGTCGGGCTGTCTGACAGGGAGCGTTTTTGGATCGCTCTGGTGATCGCGAGGTAGTCTTTGGAGGTCTGGTGGGTACTGGTGGATGTGAACAGCTTGTTGAACTTGCTCGCTATGTCCTGAGGTGACGTCAGAGTACGTTTCTTCTTTCCTTTTCTTCTGAATTTGATCGGCTGGTTGTTGCGACTCTGAATCTTGTTGTCCAGGGCTTTGATCACTTTCCAGAGCTGCGTCGAGTGGTTGCGGTGGTCGAAGGTGGCCAGAAACTGTCTCCATTTCTCGATGTTCGATTGCCTGATCATCATCCGGATCCAGTTGTTCAGAATCGGTATCTCGAGTGACTGGGGATTCGACAACCTGATTTCATCTCGCTGTTTCATCAGCTTGGAGGCATCATCAGGTAGCTGAGGAGTGACAAGTGGCCGACGTCCAGAAGGGATGTTGCTTGCCTGCTGCTACAATGGCCTTGCGGAGCAGGAGTTCCCCTTGGTAAACGTCCTCCTCGCCAAGGTTCCCAGAAAAGGTTGCTTCCACCTCGGCTTCGAAGGATTTCCAGTCAGCTTTGAGGATGTTGGTGAAAGTTCTTTTGGGAGCCTTTTGGAGGATTGTGGATGTTTGAAGCTCGATCAAGATCGGCAGGTGTGGTCGGAGATCAGCGTTGTCTCGGTCCGCCAGCTTGCAGAAGTGAGGAGCTCATGGGAGGCCAGAGATATGTCTGGAGAAGTGGCCTGCGCGTCGCTGGGGAGGCGTGTGGGGGAGTCTGTATTGAGGACGCCGAAGTTGGAGTTGGCAATTTCTGTCGCCAGAGAGGTCCCTCTGGGGTCCACGATGCTTGAGTCCCAGGATCCGTCGTGGGCATTCGCATCACCAAGGACAATCACTGAGAGAGCAGGAGCGGTTGGATAGAAGCGGTGTAGTTGTCAGGGCAGCTGCTTTTCGGTGGGATGTGGAAATTGACGAGTTTGACGTCTGAGTTGTTGAATTTCACTTTGATGGCCATGGCTTCCATCGTGCCGTCGTTGGCATTAGCGGGCTCAACACGGGTGAATAGAACGCTTCCGTGGATCAGGAACGCAAGCCCGCCACCTTGTCGCCCACCTGATCTGTCTTGACGGATAAGCGTATACTGGGATCCAAAGTTCGGGGATTTGCTCTTCGGCCCGAGTTTTGTCTTCTGCAGGGCAGCAATTTTCACGTCTTTGGAGTGGAGGTAGGCTGCCAGCTCCGTGACTTTGTTCCCAAAGCCGTTGCAGTTCCCCTGCATAATATTCATTCTCGTTGGCTCTTCATACACGGGTGCCCGCGTTGGCACGGGCTGGGTGCAGTTTTTGCAGTTCCACCCAGGGGTCCAGTCTTTAGGAGACCGCATCGGGGTGCAGGGAATGTGACTGTATTGGTGGCACCCTGCGCATTTGATGCTGCCTTGTTTGTTGATCGTTTTATTGCAGGTGCAGCATTTCACTCTGGGGCCGGGGTTCACTTCAATGCCGGCGGGGATAAGTAGAATTCGGAGCAGAGATGCCGGCGTAGTCTGCTCCGCTCCCAAAAACCGCGCAACGTGGTCGGGGTAAACGCCTCTCTTCCTGTTGGAAGGAGGGGATTGGGCCCGGCTTCGTCTCCTTGCGGAGAGTCTGCTGGGCGGCCATTTGCACTATGGTCGCGCCATGGTGATGGTTGCACTTGCTCGAAAGTGTCCACGTGGATTGCCGATACCCCTTGCATAAGCGGCCTTCCCTGCAACGCTGTAGTAGAGTACTGTGAGACTACTCTCAGAAGATGCAAAACGTGCATAGTTTTTTCGTTAAACATACAGAAATTTTACTTTGAAAAATCTTGAACATGACGAGATAGCTTTTACATGAAAAATGTATGTCATCAGTTTTGAAATTAGCATCCCAATAGTGGGATGCTGTCAGCGTTCTCCCAGGGGTTGCGAATGTGGACTCCAATTTTGAACATCCCAATGCTTTTAGTTCACGAGATATGACGATTTTTTGATTTTTCTAAAATTCAGAACATTTAAACTAAAAACATAATCAAAAGGTTAAAATTCTCAAAACTGTAGTTGGATGCTGTCAGGGTACTTTCAGGGTTTGCACCTCTTGTCTTAAAACATGACTGCTCAATCCTTGCAGTTTTTGAGATATGACGTCTTTTATGATTTCTTTTTAATGATTAGGAATACTTGGAATTCAAGAATTCTCAGGAGTTCTGTGTTTCAAATCTTGCGTCCATAATGCGCTTAGTTCCCGAATCGTGACGTTTTTTTTTTAAATTGTTCAATGAGTTTAAGGTATAAAAAATTCCAGCCTTCAAATATGACTGCCTAAATCCTTGTAGTTTTCGAGATATGACTTTTTTGTGATTTTTCAAAAACTTTTCAGAAAACTTTTATTTTTCAATTCAAATTTTGAAATTTCCAACCCTGTAGTTGGGGGCTGTGAGAGTACTCTCAGGGGTTGCGACTCTTGCCTCCAAATATGACTGTCAAATCTTTGTAGTTTTCCAGATATGGCGCTTTTTGTTACTTTTTTCAAAAATTTTCAGAAAAACCTAAATGTTTAAATTTTTAAAATTGAAATACTTAACACTGCTGTTGGGGGCTCTCAGAGTACTCTCATGGGTTGGAAATCTTGATTCCAAACTTGGCTGCTCAATGTTTTATAGTTTTTGAGACATGTCGTTGTTTCTGGTTTGTTCTAAAAACATTTTTCAGAAAGTTTAAATTTGATGTTTCTCAAAATTTTAAATTACCAACCCTGTAATTGCTTGCTGTCAGAGTACACTCAAAGGATGCATATCTTATTTCCAATATATGCGGTTTTTGATGCGTTGTTAAGCATTAGAAGCGCCGGAGGTGCGTTACCCGCTAGTATTACTGAAAAGCATCTTGTAGAATTCGGAGCAGAGATGCCGGCGTAGTCTGCTCCGCTCCCAAAAACCGCGCAACGTGGTCGGGGTAAACGCCTCTCTTCCTGTTGGAAGGAGGGGATTGGGCCCGGCTTCGTCTCCTTGCGGAGAGTCTGCTGGGCGGCCATTTGCACTATGGTCGCGCCATGGTGATGGTTGCACTTGCTCGAAAGTGTCCACGTGGATTGCGGATACCCCTTGCATAAGCGGCCTTCCCTGCAACGCTGTAGTAGAGTACTGTGAGACTACTCTCAGAAGATGCAAAACGTGAAAAGTTTTTTTCGTTAAACATACAGAAATTTTACTTTGAAAAATCTTGAACATGACGAGATAGCGAAGCCCGCTTTTACATGAAAAATGTATGTCATCAGTTTTGAAATTAGCATCCCAATAGTGGGATGCTGTCAGCGTTCTCCCAGGGGTTGCGAATGTGGACTCCAATTTTGAACATCCCAATACTTTTAGTTCACGAGATATGACGATTTTTTGATTTTTCAAAAATTCAGAACATTTAAACTAAAAACATAATCAAAAGGTTAAAATTCTCAAAACTGTAGTTGGATGCTGTCAGGGTACTTTCAGGGTTTGCACCTCTTGCCTTAAAACATGACTGCTCAATCCTTGCAGTTTTTGAGATATGACGTCTTTTATGATTTCTTTTTAATGATTAGGAATACTTGGAATTCAAGAATTCTCAGGAGTTCTGTGTTTCAAATCTTGCGTCCATAATGCGCTTAGTTCCCGAATTTTTTTTGTTACTTTTTTCAAAAATTTTACAGAAAAACCTAAATGTTTAAATTTTTAACGTTGAAATACTTAACACTGTTGTTGGGGGCTCTCAGAGTACTCTCATGGGTTGGAAATCTTGATTCCAAACTTGGCTGCTCAATGTTTTATAGTTTTTGAGACATGTCGTTGTTTCTGGTTTGTTCTAAAAACATTTTTCAGAAAGTTTAAATTTGATGTTTCTCAAAATTTTAAATTACCAACCCTGTAATTGCTTGCTGTCAGAGTACACTCAAAGGATGCAGATCTTATTTCCAATATATGCGGTTTTTGATGCGTTGTTAAGCATTAGAAGCGCCGGAGGTGCGTTACCCGCTAGTATTACTGAAAAGCATCTTGCTTAAGATATTGCATATAAGAGGCCTTAAAATAAACGAAAGGTGGATCATTCACTAATTATGCAATTTATGCAGTGATCGCCCTCTTGAAAAATTGAAACAAGACAAAAAATCAAAAATCATCATGAGAGTGAAAACTACAAATATCTGTTGAATTTTTCCTTGTATCATAAGTGATTAGTGCTTATAGGCAAATGGCTGAGAAGAAGGTTATAGCTGTAATTGGTGCTACTGGTAATCAAGGAAGTGGGCTGGTCCGAGACATTCTCGAGAATCCAGATCCAGGATTTTCTGTTCGTGCCATAACCTCAGATGCTTCTTCGGATAAAGCCAAGGCTCTAATGTCTCAAGGAGCTGAAGTTGTTCAAGCAAACTGGAACGACAAAGGAAGCTTAGTTCAGGCGTTTAAGGGCGCATACGGTGCGTTTTGCGTGACCAATTACTACGAAACCTTTTCTCCGGAGGGGGAAATGAAGCAAGCCAAAAACATGGCCGAAGCCGCCAAAGAAGCGAATGTGCAGCATGTTATCTGGTCAACCCTAGAAGACACCAGGCAATGGGTTCCGGTTGAGGATGATCGCATGCCAACTCTCATGGGAAACTACAAAGTTCCCCATTTTGATGGAAAGGGCGAATCAGACAGCTTTTTCAAGGAACTGGGCGTTCCCACAACTTATCTTCTTACATCATTCTACTTTGAAAACCTCGTCACTTATAAGATGGGTCCTCAACGAACAGCGGATGGAAAATTGGTATTCAATTTGCCGTTAGGACAGAAGAAATTGGCTTCAATTTCTACAGAAGACATAGGAAGATCAGCTCACGGAATTTTCAAGCGAGGTACCGAGTATATTGGAAGTTACGTTGGAGTTGCGGGAGAGCATCTTACTGGAGAGGAAATGGCAGCAGAAATGACAAAGGTAGTTGGTGAAACTGTGGCATACAAAGCAGTGCCTTTTGACATGTATCGGAATTTTGGACTTCCTTTCGGTGATCTGGCGAACATGTTTCAATTCTACCACGACTTCGAAGAGAATGTCTGTGATGTGCGTCGAGTAGAAGGCACCCGAGCTTTGAACCCAAAATTGAAGTCTTTCAAAGAGTGGCTCACTGCCAATAAAGACCGAATCATACACAATCATGCAAAAGAAACATCTGCAGATGACGTATCTTTTGCAGTGCCATTGCATTTTAATTTGACGCACTAAACCTATCAGTCACAAGAAAACTGAGTTGTATTGAATTTAAATTTTTCGGGCGAGGTACTTCAATGATAGACTGGTTCCTTTAAAAATTTTAATGCAATTCGGATAGGGAATCACATATTTAGGATTAGCAGAATATCTGTTCGTTTTGTTAAAGCAGAAAAAGTGTTTGACACAATCAGATGTAAGCCTATTTTGCTGTTGGTTTTTGGCAGGTAATCCACATATTACGGAACCAGCTCATCATTGAACTATTTGCGTCTCGGATGTTTTTATACGATGATCCTTCAGATACCACATTTTTTTTCTATCTAATTGATAATGTAAATAAAGTTCTGACACTAACTCCGTCAACAGGGAACGAAACAAACTATAAACCTGAAATAGAGAAAAACAGACAAAAGCGATCAAGCTCTACAAATTTTCTTTGGCTCTACATATTTTATTAGATTTCTTTTTAGCTTCAATAAGTCTTTTCGAGTCACAGAACTATCCAAAATGTAATTCGTACAAAATTGAAAATGGAAAGCCAAAGCATCAATTTGTCAAAAAAAAGTTAAATCAATACAATTTGGTGATAAAAATTAAAGAGCATAATCTATTAGCTACAGCTACGCACAACAGCTTATGAAAAAATGAAAGTGAAAATGTGATTTGCCAACAGACGGAACATTGAACTTCAGTCGTGTTTTTTGACGCAAAATCAGGTAACGCAAGCTAATTTAAAACGAAGAGTGACTTCAATTGATTTAAGTTATACGGTAAATAAATTGACGTAACCCTTGTGATATATTTTGAACCCCCGGTCTTACTCAATGCAAGACCAACCGTGGGGGAGCGGGGAGTGTCATCTATTTGACATCCCGCTCCCCCACGGAAAAGGTAAGCAAGGGTATGGAATGTGGTACAAGACTGTTCTGGTACAAATCTAGTTGGTCATTACTGATAGTTTTGCTTAATTGCCTTTTTTCGCAGTAATAAGACCTTTTTAAACGACCTTAGCCCATGTATACGCAGGGTTTTTTTGAATGTGTCCAATTTTTTTTGGCTCTTCGGTTAATTTCAGCTGCCATTTAGTCGGCTTAGACGCCATTTCTCCAGTCTGATTGAATGAATTGGAGGTCTACGTATTTTTTTTTTGGATTTTAAAGTTTCATCAATTTGTATCACAACCTTATTTAAATTAGTTCGTAATCTGCTCCGGTGATCAGCAAGCGTTATCAAATCGGAATGTAGACTTTTTTCGGGTTAACAACTAGTTTAACAAAATCACTCAATTTCATGAACATTCAAATTTTACTACTCGGTTGGTACAATTTACGAATGGGTAGTGTCAGGGGGGACCCTGAAACTTCTTAAAGTTTTAAACAAAAGTTTTTTCAGCTCAACTGCAGTCTGCTCAAAGGTTGTCGGCCTTGTTTCCGCTATGTAAATTTTATTCAGTTGCTTAGTTGAATTTCTTATGTCTTGCTTGGCATGTTAGCCTGGAATTCTTGTTTGTTGAAAAAAAGGTTTTATGTAAACGTATGGGATTGGGTTTCCTTTTTTAAAAATGTTTTTGAGAAGCTCTGGAAAATTTTACCACGTTTTGCAAAAAATTTAATTTTTTTCTCTAACACCCTTTGACTATTTTCCAAAAGGTATCTATAGAAAGACCTCCTACAATCTTGCGTGGCTGCATACTTCCCTGGTCTCTATTTGCCCTAACCCTTTGTCTACAGTCTGGGAAAAAGTCTGCTTGGTGAATGTTTGACGATATTTTTGATTTTTTTTTCGTTTTCACAAAAACAAACCTAAGTTTTTGCTTTTTTCACTGTTTTTTGATTTTTTTTTGATTTTTTCCAAAGCTACTATACAAATTCTCAAATGTTCAATTGAGAAATCCGGTCTTGGAAAAATTATCTACTTGAGCGCCCATGACCTGCTGTTTGCAGAAATGGGTTTCAGAAAATCAATATTTTGAACTTATGACAGTTGTTTTTTAGAAACTTATTGATTTTTCGTAAAAACTAGCCTATCGAATCTGAGATGAAAAGTTCAAGCGAAATAATTGGTTGCTAGAATTTATCTGCAGAAGCGTCGGATCTTTAATTTTTATGCTAGAAATGTTCTTTCGAGGGGGAAAATTCCAATATATTGAAAGTTTTCACTTCTACTTCTTTTAGTAGAGAATAATTAAGGTTTTGGGCGAAGTTCAGTTTTTGACAAAAATTTTGTCACCTAGCTTTTTTGACATCTTTATTTTTTTTCACTTATGTGTTTTTTCAGCGTTTTTTTTTCTGAATTTTCTGAATATACCAAAAAAACTCCCATATCTGAGATTTTGGGTTCAATCCAAGGAACGGATTCTGGGAAGCTCCTTTGCATACGCGACCATGCCCAAATTTTTTGACACAAAAAATTATGGCTCTCGCATAAGTCAAAATATTTATTTTTTGACCGTTTTTTGAAACTTTTAGACTTTTGTCGAAACTACTCTGCCAAACTTGGGTTTTTGGGTTTAATCTAATTTTCAGATTGGGCAAATCTCTTCTGCATAAACGGCTACGCTCGATTTTTTTTAAACAAAAAGCTATCATTCTAGGAAATGTCAATTTTTTAATTTGTTGACCGTTTTTTGGACTTCTCTCGATAACTATTCTGCCAAATCTGATATCATAACCATAGGTTTAATGGACACAACAGATTGTTGGAAGCTTACCTTTAGAACTTGCTACGCCTAGCTTCTTTAAGAAAAAAAGTTATGGTCTTCAAATAAAAGAAAGTTTTGAAACTTGATTGTTTTGTGGAAATTTTTTGACTTCAATGGAAAGCTACCGTGGCAATACTCAGGTTTAATGTTCAATCGAGAAATCCGACTTTGGGAATCGTCTCTATCTTATTAAATCGAATTAATTTTGATTGTTTTTCTGGCCTTTTTGCTACAAAAATTGTTTTCATTTGGCCTATTTGACTGACTGTCGCATTTGCAGAAATTTTTTTTTAACCACCACACATAAAAAAGACGCTTATTTGAAAACAAATGTGTCAGAACATTCTTTGCTACTTGCACAGTAACCGGCTATCCTTGTTGTTTATTCTTGTTTGTGTAAGAGTCAATGAACGTATTTAAAAAGAAGGTTAACTCCCTTATCGAACACCAAAAGCGTAGATGTCACGAAAAACATGATTGACTTTTTGTTTCGAAACTCGATTTTGATTTTCAGATTTAGCAGCGGAAAAAAATAGCTATTCAACAACGTTTCTCAACTGGTTAATTTAGACAAACAAAACTGCCAATCATAATATTGTCGCAAAGTTTAGAGCTTCAAGGGCAAATTTTTTTCTTCGAATTTCGAAAGTTTTTTTATAGCAACCCATTAGATACTGATGTCGATCTACAAATTCGTTGAGCCACAACTAGTTAGTGTATACACTCAATAACAGAATGTAAGAAGAACGCATAAAAGTTTAATAAAAACTAAAGATAGAAAAGACACCAGCTTCAATTGTCAGGCTATCTGTTGATGCGGAAGCCGCTTCATAAGTTAGCAAATTGGTAACTTTTAGTATATTTTCTGTATTACCCATTAAAATTCGTTGAAGGCTCGTATTTGAATTAAGTATAAGACAATATTAAGATAGTTTCAGTCTCGGTAACCTAATCCAGTTATCAACATTCCAAAAATTTTATCGCCTACGGGTAGTTTTCATTCTGTTTACTTGTTAGCTCGTGTGAAGGCAGATTCATAAATGTTGGCATTTTGCGTTCATGGGCTTCCAGAGACAACATGAAGAAGACTTCTTCTGAACGTGCAAGCTCATTGGTGTAAATTTTAATTTTTAACTGAGTTAACTTATCATATGTTATTTTTTGAAAATACATTGAGTAGATGATACTGCTGAACCAAGCTGTACAGAGTCGTGCGAGCTTCTTTAACTTCCACGGCTGAAAGTTTTTCAGCTTAAGGCAACTGATGCAGTTCCTCTGAAATGACTTCGTTACCTGATTGAACTTCACTAATTTCCCATTGTCGTGAGTCGTCAGTTTTGTTTCCGTTGTTTTTGATTCCTGAGTTTCTGCTCTATGGAATTTTCGCCTTAGCGCGATTAGCGATTGCTGCGAAACCTGCAGTCCAGCTTCCCCAAAGCAGCTGCTATCCAACCCCGTACATTTGCCTCCAATTTCTCTTCTGATACCTGTACCAGGATAACAGTCAGTGACGCTAACAGTATCCGCGCTTGTATCCCAGTAAATACCCAAACCTGTTCCATCATCTGTTCTTGTACCTGTACCTATACTTCCATCCAGTAATAATGCGTTTCTAGTATCCATACCATTTCCAATACCAACTTTTGCGCAAATACCTTCCCCTGTACCATTACCTTCCCGGGTATCGTGACTTTATTCCGTCTTCAATCCTTTTATTGTACCATTATCAAACCATCGTTTTCCATTGAGTTTTTTTTTCGATTTTTCTCAGTACCAAAACCTACCCCTGTACCAACACCTGTTTTTGTACCACAACATTCCCGGTCGTCATTCCGTTTTTCTCTCCGCATACTTAGCTTCGTTCCAATACCATCCCGGTTACTAACCGGCTGTAATATCACCTCTGTACCATCACCACGTCGGTTACCGATGCCATTTTCTTTCGAGTTTAAACGAATGTTCTCAATACCAAAACTTACCCTTGTACCAACACCTGTCTTTGTATCATAACCTTTCCGGACATTATCGCTTTCCTCTGTCCTCAAACCTAACCTTGCGCCAATACCATCCCGGGTACTAATACCTCCTGTAACAGTTGTTGCGTATGCTACGTTTTGAACTGCAAACTGGGGTTTTGAACTGCAAAAACCTGGTCAACCTGGTGTTCTCTTTTTCCTCAATCAACATTGTAACAGATCCTCTGCTTTAAATAGGCTGGTTTCTTGTTGTGTTCTCTCCACTGGGATTGACTCTGCTCTCGGCGAATTGTCTGATGACTGTGAGAGCCATGTTGGTCCGTTTCACCAAAGTGCATGATCAGATAGAGCTGCGGACGAAATTCAGCGAGACGCACAATTTGCGGTATTGTCTTTCTTCGGCGCAAATTTTCATCTCTCGGCTGGTAGAATTTATTGAGTTTCTGCTCGATTAGCAACGAAAGTCTTCACTCGCGAGGAAATTCTAGTAACCAGGCAATTTTAAATTCAGAGTCGGTCCAGGCGAAAACAGTTGGTATGATCAACCGCTTGTCGCTGATAGTGGCTAAAATTACTTCCACTAGTTTTGCTCCTAGAAGTGCTGCACGAAGCTCCATGCGTGGAGCACAAATGCATTTAATAGGCGCAACTCGTGTTTTTGCCTCCAATATTTGACCTTTGTTGTATCTTCGCTGGTTTCTTGTCGCATATACACGACAGTTGCATATGCTGTAATTGATGCGTGACAGTAAACGTGAAGTTGAAGGTCTTTGGTTGTCTCCGGTAAAGGAACTCCGCGAGATAACTTGATGTCTTCCAGTTCCTGTAGCTGCTGTCGGAAGCGTCCATATTGTTCCTGTAGTGTGATTGATATTCTTTTATCCTGTCCACTTGAGTTGTATGAATGATTTCAGTTGAATTGTCGTAGGCAAAAGCCATCCTTGGGGGTCATGAAGCCTCGTGAATTCTGAAGGTTTTTGTCGTTTGGTCACTGGATACTTTCGTTTATTTTATTTGTTGTAAAACTTTTCCAAGTTAGTGATAATAATTAAGGCAATTTCTTCACAAGGGAAAGAACATACGTTCGAGCTCTTTAGTTCTTCCCGGAAGAACGCTGTTGCGCGTCTGGTAAAATTTTTGTCTTTTGTCGGAGGTGATGCGATGCTCCGCTTTATTCATTTGTCCGAAATTGAAACTTGCAATACTAGAGGCTGTACATCGAACACTAATTTAACTTTATACTTTGGGGCTGAAGATTGATGAAACTTCGTATAGCATATGCTAAATGATCGAACTTCGAATAACCACGACTACGAAACCATAATGAAGTCAAGAAATCAGAATTACTCCAAATTTAAGTGCCCAGCGTTAACTTGTACAACTGAAACTGTAGCCGTGTCTTGCGTGTAATTTATATGCAATATTATACATATAGTCGTGTTGGGCGATTATAATTTGAAATTTGTACAAAAAGAACTGCGGTTTAATCTGGCACGCATTTAATTCTGAAAAACTAAAAAGCTCAGAGTATTCAGATTAACATTTTTCGATTTTCTTAGTTTTCAATCTCGGACCAAAATGGTTTCAATTTGATACACTACTTGACACCCGTACAGTTTTTTTTGAAGTACCTGACAAAATTAAGGCACAAAAAGATCTGGACGACAACGTGGACCTCAAAAAATATAGCTCTCTTTACTTTATACTTTAATCAGTATTTTTTCTTTTTTTTTCATTTGATTTTTGTTCATCTTTTGCTGTCGTGGAAAACAAAGACAAATGGTTTCAACATGATGCAGCTCCTAGAATTTACTTAAAAAACCAATGTAAGCGGAATCCACAAACATTACGCGGACTCCACATACAAAAAATAATACATGTTAAAAGTGGATCAAAACTCGAAGAACCGGCAGACTGATGTTCCGACTTTCGAAGACTAGGAGGAATATATATGCTCGGATGGTTTTAAAATTCAGACCAATTTTTAAAAAAAAATGACTGCGTATGGGCATCGATCTGGAATTCTTGTGATTGCCAAGCGAGTATGCTTGCACTTGACTAAAGTGCAGATTTGCTGCTGAAATAATTTGTTTCAAAAGGGAATTATTTAGGCGTCGCAAATTATCCGCACTCATTGAATTGAGGCAAGCTAATTTGTCTTATTAATTCCATAAACGACTCAAATTTTAACATAACTTCGAGAAAATCAGCCGAAAATTTGTAGTTTGTCAATATTTAATATTCCAAAAACGATTCAAGACCAATTAGTGGGCAGTCGGAATATTAAGGGCTTTTCTCTGATTCGAGCAGCCTCATATTGCGCTATTTGAAAGAAGAAATTAAATTTCTAGCCTTGCGTGGCGTGAAAATTTTGTAGCTCAAGTTTTTAATAATAAGTTCAACGCGCATCAAGGTAAGTATAGTTATGATTTGAATTATCTGGACAAAATGAAAACAGGTGAAATTATTTAAAACGCAATTCTCTCAAATTGGTTAATTTTAGACAAAAAATGATGAAGACCAACTTTGTTTGAAGTTTAAACAGAATTATATGGTGCAATTTGTTTTGCAAAATTCGGGCCCAAAAATTTACCCCAAAAACGATCATTTTTGGCTCTGTTCTGTCTATCAAAAGTTAAGCCAGAACTACAGAATCAATTGCTAATAAAACTATTCTAAAAAGCCGCTCGTGTAGCCCAATAAAATTTGAGAATGGTGTAACCTCGTTAAGGGGGCGCAAAAGGGTTTCATTAGAAGAAAATGGTTTTCTAAATAGGAAAAATGACATTTTTTGGCTATCAAACGAAAATAAATGTGTATGCAAAGCTGAGAAAATTATACCTTTTTAAATTTTGTTGGGCGACATAAGAGGCTTGCAGTGATTTAGTTTTGTCTAATCTGAACCCAGCTTGAGAAAAATGCGTTTTAAATTTTAAAGTTTGTTTTGTCCGGTTAATTTAAATCAGCCCTGTGTTTTCGGCTTAGTTAAAAATTGGCACATTTTGTCTGAGTGCTGATATAACACTGCCCGTTTTTTTCCAGGACGTGTTTTCATCAAATTGGTTTTCTGTTCGAGACCAACGTAAAGAAATCTTGCTAGATATAGTTTTTTCCGACCTTTTCCGATTAATTTATGGAATAAGTTGCTTTCCTAATTTTGTGTCAGCTCGCTTGTCATTCTCAATGCTACGTTTGTAATGTATCGCGAGTCTGAGTCATTCATGCCAATTAGGCACGGATTCAATTTTCGGTAATTCAGTTTGTGAACTCTTCGCTCGAAGAGAAGAACCTTTGTGGCTTCGAGACCAGGCATCTGCTAACTTATTTGCAAGTGATCTTTCGTTCTTCAAATAGAATTGTTTTTTTTTCTTCGAAAAGTTCATTCGAAGATAAGCAGAATGATGGTGGCAGCATGCCATTGAATTAATGAATTTAAATGCTCAATCATATAGAAAAATGCCATACTGAATAGTTGGTTTTATGTATTTGTCATAAGTACTCTTATCATCAGCTTGTCATAGGTTTTGTACTTTAAATCCGTCTGTCAGTTCTTTAATATTATCTTCCATTATCTTCGACTCGGATGAGTACTTTGCTCGATGTATAAACCAGCCCCCATTCATTTTCAGTTTCAACTTATCTAGATTGCTGATTATCAATTCAGAGCTAACTGTTCAGTTGCAGTTCTTGTTTTCTCTTAAAATTAAGAAAAAAAATATCAGGATACATTGAGATCGGACTAACTTACTTAGGTTGCTTTATTCATTTAAGGTAATAAGCTCAAATTAAGTAATAATCTGAAAGGTGAGAATGGTTTCAGTCTGGGCTCTCCTGGATTTTTATCTGCGTTTCACATTGTTCATGTAATAAACCAGAATTCGGGGCCTTTTTCCATCAAATAATGTTTTGCGGTCATTGGATAACACCAAACTTAATTGTGCCTTATTTTCAGTCAACATGTTTTAACAACAAATTACTAACTTTGGTATTTTCGCTGACAAAGACGATGTTTGGAATAGATTCAAGATTTATTGAATCTAGTTTCAACCTTTGAATCTGACTGACTGCAAATGCAAGTTTGCATTGCTATTGAATTGCGATAATATCGACCTAGAATCTGTTTGTTTCGATTTGTACGATCCAAACGGAATTTGAAATAAAGCTCATTCGAAGGGACACATCTTCCGAATTGGCAACATCGATTGGAAAAAAGAATTGAGATCGGAACCAGCAACGAAATGCCGGCCACTGAAGGAGACACTATTTTTATCCTAGTGGGCGCCTCGGTTAGATATTTCAAATATTTTTAGATAATACGTTTGTTACGGTAGCTTGATTACAAAAATCGTTCTCTTTAACATGACACTGAAACGTTTTAGCTTAGTTTTTATTTTAGACAAAAGGTAATCGACAAATTTGCATGGAGCCATTTACATAGAACGATCTAATTGGTGTCCCTACTTGTCTAGCTAATGGTTCAAATCTAGACATGAATAATCGGTTGATATAATCAAATCTAGACATAATCATTTTTTAAAATAGTTCCAGGAATCAGAACATGTAACGATAAATTGAACTAGCAATCAGAAAATTTATTTACAATAAGATAGACGGAAGTAACAATAAAAATATTTGCTGATATCTGTAGTTACCGTTGAATTTGAAAGTATGCGATTGATTTTTAGGGAGACTTGTCGAAAAAGAAAATCTGGCCTACATTATGGTGAGTGCTTTTCCTTTTACATGACAAAAGTTGATACGATTTCGTTGGTTCCTTCTTCATTATTTCCTACCTCACAAAACCACTCAACTCATATGATGCCAAGTCAAATTAAAGATCAAACCTCTAAATAACTGACTACAAAAATGCAATTCGTAAAAGCTTGGAACTTATAGTTCGCAGCTCATACATATTTCGGCTCATTGAAGTTTTGTGGAATAATCAAGCGTTTGGGTCCAATTTTTTCACCCTTGTAAGTGTTCATGAAGGTGTGTTCGTTAGTTTTTTCTTATTTGCGTAGTTTTTTAAGCAGCAGTTTTAAGGTTTGTTCACGCTCAAGTTGATATTTCTATAGCTTGGATTTTGATTTCTTTTTAAATCGCTCAAAATTAATTTGCTCAATGGAAGGCAAATTATGCTTTCCAGCAAACTCAGTGCATATATCGGCGGCTTTATTTCTCTCATATTTACCCATATTTTTGTTCCAGTTTTCATAGGTTGGGTTAATTATATCAAAAGAAGTGGCAATCATAAAGATCCCTGAAATTCAGAGAGCGTTTCAGTGATAACTTCAGAGAGCTTCTTCTCTGAAGTTCGAGAAACGTCAATTGTCACTTGCTTGAGTTCAATTAGCTCATCGAAAATTCATCTACGCGGGTACGCACCGCTGTTTTGCCGTTTAGTAAGAACTATATGCAGTTTCGGTTGCTAAAAGGCATGAACGTAGTGAAAAATATTATAGGTCTGGTGATTTTTTTATTCATGCTTTTCAGGAAATGCTTTAAAAACTACAGATGTTAATGCTGTTAGATGTTACCTTCATACATATTTACACTTGAGCAACAATATTTGCTGCGTCGAGTTTGCTGCATCGAATTGGCAATAAGATATTTTGTTGCACCTTTGATATTTATTTGCACCTTTACAGCTTATTGATAACATATGCTTTGACATCGAATAATTATAAGTTTACAGTTGATGCATTTTTAATTCATCAAGTGAACCGAAGAAAGCTATTTGTTTCAAACAACATCACAATATTAAAATCTCGATGTCAAAAATTTTCTAACTCAATATTTCCCTTAGTTTCTTGAAATGCATAATTTATACATAATGTAGCTTTATGATTGCGATTTTTTTCATGCTAAATTGTATGTTTTTGTATTTGATGCTATTTTTGCAGCATCGAATTGGCAATTTATTTGCATATGTAGCTGCATTATTGGTGGCTAGTTTTCGGGGCTTAATGGTTAGTGCGTGAGGCTCAGATTTGCTAGGTCGCAGATTTTGGCTAATTCGAGTTTTTGCTAAGCCTCGAGTTTTTGCTAACTCGAGGCTTATTTCTACTTCTTATGTCACTTGATAGCTGCTTTTTAGTCGTGTTCTCGCAAGTGTTTGCGAAGCGCAGCTTCGCCTTTGTGTAATGCTTTTCTGAATTCTCTTAGGTATTTATCTACTTTTTGATTTCAAATCAATTTCATCTGCTAAAAGTTAGGTAATTTGCGCTCTCCAATTACATCTGTGAAAATGGCGAAAAAAACGTAAAAAAGATCTAGTTTCGAAATTTGATTCAGTTTTTAGGTTTCGCAGTAGATCAAAAACTTTGCTTCTCAAATTGGGTTAGTTTTATTAAAAAAACTCGATCATAAATGGTTCTTAAAGTTCAAAGAGGTGCTAGGCCATATATATTTCTTGAAATTCGAAAGTTGATTTTTTTTTAAAAGGCGAATCAATATATTTTTTGTATCGTTGCGTTCATGACTTTCCAAATGTCTGTTGGTTATGTTTTTCTTGGCGGGGTAATTTGACCTCACCCTCAAGCTACGAGTACCGATCATTGTGTACCCCGAACTTCTTACCTTCAGCTGATTAATAACTTTTTCAAGCTGTTCCGTTAAGTTATTACACTTGCAGCGCAAGTGTACTAGTACGAACCTTCTTTTTTTTCTAAGCTTCGCAAATAAAAGTGTGCATTAAAAGTATCCCGATCTATAGCATTGGAAATTCCATCGCATCTGTTCTCTGCTTTATTTGTGGCTAGTGTTTTTGATGTATTAAGCGTTCGTGGCTGGCGTGAGACTCATAATCTCTAGATTGCAGATCGAAACCGAGACGTAGCCGAACTTTTACTAATTCGATTTAAGTGCTACTTTTTAGTGCACTTTATGGAGCTGCTTTTTGTCGTGTTCTCGATAGTGTTTGCGAAGCGCAGCCTCGCCTCTGATTTAATCATTGTAGCTGGAACGAATTTGACGAGAAAAAGGAAGTTTTCAAGTGCTCTTCAGGCTTTCGATTTGAAATTGATGTTCGAAATGCCCTGAACTTTTAAAACAAGAAAAAAGTCAGAACCAATTAATTAAACTTTCATTATTTAACTGCATTTGTTCCAAATGGTTAAACATCCAACTAATTTACAGTTTTATCTTTGAGCTGTTCCTTTGATTCTATTTTTTTTGAATCTTTTTTTTATTAATGTGAGGTCAAAATCAATGAGTAATTTTGTAATATGCTTCATTTGAACAGTAAAAAAACTTATTAAATGCGATTTTGAGTAGTTTAAATATGAGGTGTATAAATTTTAAATTGATTGAATCCTTCCTTGGAATCATGGAAAAAATACAATTGAGATCTGTTTACATGTGGCGATCGGTTTGCGTTTTTGAAAAAGCTTTCAATTTTACCATGCGTTCATTTGTTCAGATCATATTCTTAAGTATCTGATTTTTTCTGCGAAATTTCTGAAATTATAATATATGTTTGCTTCAGCAACCTGAAGCGTGATTTTCTTTCGAAGTCTTCAAAATTCGTTGGCTATGCTCGGTCCAAATTGACGATAGAAGAAATCAAAACCGGTGTCAAACCTCATTTCAAGGTAAGAAGTATAAACGGACATTAACGTTAAGTCAAGTTCAAATAAACTCATTTAATTACCCTTCCAGATGAGCAAGGATATTGTTTTAAAATCAGCTATTAGATTTTAATCCTGCAAATTGCTAACAGAATGGCGAAAATAGAACTAGCAAATATATCGGTTCAAGGTAACATCCTCCGCCCCAAATAGACTTAGTTAAGATCCTCCGCCCCATTGTTCAGTTTAATTTAAATCTACTTAGCGCTGCATGTAAAACGCTCTATTCTGATTGGCTGAAAGTTCGAACTCAGAACTAAGTTAGCATCCTCCCCCCTAAATGATTTGGGGGGGGGGGGGGGAATATTAACTTGGTCCAATATATTAAGGCGTGCTCTTAAAGGCTGTACATGTTTTAAACTGTCTTAAACTGACTGATTTATTCCTTTCGAATTTCTGAATAATGAATTCTGATTGGCTGACAAAATTGCTGCGCATACGCTTCTTCGCGCAATAAAGATGCCCCTTTCTTTCAAAGTGCGTTTTATGAAATTAACTTTGGTCGATTTTTTTTACTTCTTGTCTACTTGATTTACCGTATCGAGCGACGAGTCTAGGATTTTCTCGAGGGGGGGGGGGGGGGGGGGGGGCGGATAATCAAAAAAAAAAATTCAAAAATTTTATCGACCTTTTTTTAGGTCGACCAAATTGATTTTCCGAGCCCTCATAAAACAATAAAATAATGACCCTCTTTTGGCCACATTCTCCTCCGCAGGCAAAAATTTTGAATAAACTGGTTAAAAAATTGCGTTGTTCAGGCCTGCGCTTCCCCCTCAAAACTATAAAATTTTGGCGGTCCGTCCAGGAGCGCGCCCCCTCTCAGGGTTTCGGCCCCCTGCCGACCCAAAGGGTCCCCCCTTTGCACTATTTTGAGATATCCATTTTTGGCTGACTAACTTAAAAAATTTTTTAAAGGGGCGAGCGCGCGCCGAAAAAACGCGATTTTTGGTCAAAATTTTCCAAAAAGTGCCGTAAAACGCCTTTGTGGCCTGTTTTTTCAAAAATTTGCCTGCGGCGCAGAGATTTTGGTCCAATTAGTGCCTTTATAGTGCTTTATGAGAGCTCAGAATATCAATTACCAATTTGGTCGACCTTAAAAAAAGGTCGACAAAAGTTTTTTTTTAAATTTTGAAAATCCGCCACCACGCCCCTTCTCGAGAAATTCCTAGATCCGCGCCTTGGTCCGTCAGCCAAAAATGAATATCTCAAAATAGTACAAGGGGGGACCCTTTGGGTCGGCAGGGGGTAGAATCCCTGTGAAAAGAGCGAACGACCACCCCCCCCCCCCCCTAAATCCGCCCCTAACCTTATCACTTTTTTGGTACAGGTAATTGAGTTCATGAGTTTCTGCGCAAGTTTTTGATTGATTTTTTGACATTGTATTCATTGCGGTTGAGCCTGTAATGTTAAAAGCGCAAGCCTTAAGTGCAAATCAGAATTATCAAATCAAAAAATTTTGATGTGGAAGGTTTGACTTTTAATTTATTTTAACGTGCGCTTTTGTTTTTCATTTCCCGAGTAGACATACATGTGCACGTCCGAAAGCAAAATGGAAAGGACGCGAAACAGCATCGCAATTTTGGTTTCAAACTTGGGTTTAAACTGTAAAGTTTTGCTTACGAAGTTATTGCAAGCCAAAAGTTTGGCCCAGTTTTGCGACAATTTCCACGGGGTAGAAGTCTCACACATGGTCCAGAACTAAAGTGATGGAGTCGGATTTTTACACTAGCGTCAGCTCAGTGTATTATTAAGAAGATTCATTTTTTTCTAATCTTAAGTCGCAAATATTGGTGCCGCTTTTCGGGCACCTTACAGCTTTTTGCTAGCATGTGCTTTGTCATTCGAATAGTAACACAGTTGATGCATAATGCTTTTTTAATCCATCAAATGAACCGAAAAAAGCTATTTGTTTCAAACAACAACAGGAATAAAAACTCTATTTCAGATTTTTAACTCAATGTATCTCGTAATTTTTGTAAATGCATAATTTATACAAAATATGGCTTTATGCTTTGCGATTTTTTAGATGCAAAGTTAGTGTGAATGCCTTCAGTTTGTTATATTCCAAATTACTTGCAAAATTATGTCTTTTAGTATTTGTTGCTACTTTTGTTGCATCGCATTGGTAATTTATTTGCATATGTAGCTGCTTAATTTGTGACTAGTGTTTGCCAATTGTTAAGTTTTTCTGGCCGAGAGGGCTGGGGTGAGACTCCAATACTCGAGGTTGGAGGTTTGTAGCCCATATGTCGCAAAAGTTTTTACTTGTTCGAGGCTTAGGTACTTTCAAATATCGAGCAGCAAAAGTGTGAACTGGAAAAAACTTTACTGGACTATTTTTCTCTGAAAAGTACACGGATCAAATTAAAAAAAACATGGCCCAAATCTTAAAAGTGGGCCATGTACATTTTAAAATTTGAAATTCGAAAGTTGAAGTTTTTTCAAAAAACAGTCCTTGTTTGTTCCGTTTCCTTGAATTCATCTGAGCGGTCTCAAATGTTATTCACGCTTTGATTGATGATTTTTCTGGCCAAAAATATTCATACATTTCATTTTCATTTGCTTAATGCAGAAAAATACGGACCTTGTCTTGGAGTTTTAAAATTGAATTTTAGTTCTCAGATTTCTCAGCGGACATAGTTTTATTGAAAAAAGTCAATGATGAAAGCTTTAAAATTATCTGTGATGTAATTTTTTTTATGGAGTTCCAATGTTGGAAAAAAACAGTCGCTTCCGATTTTGTTTTTGGCTTCTTATTTTTTGGTTATGTTAATCTTCTGATGTTTATTCGATGTTTGGTGACTGTTCGACTAGCATTAACATTTGAAAAACCGAAAGTATATCGACTAGCATAATTTTCATAGCTTTTTTTCAGTGATACAAACCAACAAAAAATCCGTTCAAATTGAAACAAGCATTTCTGAGAAATATTAGAGTGAGCAATTGAGAAACTAAGAAATCAATAAACAAAGAAAAGTCATAAACACATAAATTGAAATCAGTGCCACACCAACCTGTAGTGGCTTGATCCGAACGCTGATCACTGTGCAAATTGTGAAATCTGTGAAGAAACTGATTTATATAACTTCTGGCTTGAGTTGTGTTTTCTCGACGGAAGTTGGGTTTTTAGGTGGAAATCAAAATATCTGAATTATACTTATTTTTTAAGAATTTTACATGGTTTTTGGGTTGTTCATTGGATTTTTAGCCAATGTTTTTTTGGGTTGTTAGGTGGAACTCAAAATATCCGAATTATACTCAACTGTTTAGCAATTTATAATTTTTGGATGTCAGTTTAAATAATTGTCATTGATTCGTTTAGATCGCTAGATTATTATCTTTGCGATAAGCAAGGGTGTTGCATTCGGGTAATAGATTGTTTTCCCGCAAACAACTTAGTTCACAGAATTTGCACGCGAAAATGATATTTGTATTACTTCTTTTATTAATAGCTAAATTTCTAGAAAAATTCTGCGCAGCTGGCGCTGTGGTAAAACACATACTAGAGACGACAAAGGCCGAGAGTGCGATTTCAGTTGGGACCTATTTCTTATAAACAAAGTTTTTGGTTAATTTAGACAATCGTCTGTCTGCCTATTTTTGTCGGCTTACTTCCGGCAGAAAGGAATCTTTCGAAGGGTCGGCTTCTTTCTGGTTAAAGTATCTGGTCATTTTGTTAACGTTGCTGCTTGTTTCGTTCCATGTTTTTTTCGGCTTTGCAATTTTTATAAATGTTTTTGACAAAAAGTTACAATTGTTTGAAATTTTTTTGGCATTGTTACCCATGCGATAAGCAAGGGTATTTCGATTTGCCTTTTAATTTCCTTTTAATCATAGTCATCACAATTGCGAGAGCAAGTGTCTTGTAATGGCGTGGCGCTTTAGACTTTTTTCCCTAAACAACATTTGAAGTTGATGTTGCTTTATTATCGAACCATAGTATATGCTAGGCACCAGCGCACTTGGTCTGGAGGTAGTGCTATTGCTTTAGTGCACTTGGAGGTAGTGCTTTTGGTCTGGAGGTAGTGCAATTGGTCAGAGGTTCGAGTCTCGGCCGGACCTCGTTTTTTTCAGTGTCTGGCGTGGAAATATTTGTCGGCTGATGTTTTGTCGGCTTAGTTGCCACACCACAATTTTTTTGCTGTAACCAGTTTTAATTGTAGCATCAAGTGTCGTTGACCAACTCCTGTAGTTTTTTAAAATGTCTATACCTGGCTGGTACATTTTCCGTTTTTCTTAACTATTCTCGCTTAGAAATTTTATTCGGCTTAAAGACAAAATGATTATTCTTGTTTTTTTGTCAATCAGTTTGCCTCTGTGCCTCTGTGTTAGTTTTTGTATCGCAAGTGTTGCTAAGTTAGATGTTAAATCTTGCATAGCCTGCAGTATACTTGGGACAACTCGCAAAAAATGATAACTGACCGTAGAATTTTTAAAAAACCAATCTGTAGATTCAGGTCCTCTATATTATATTTCGGAAGTTATTGGGTAACCATTACCTAGCTATGGCAAGGTGGTTGTGAAATTTTGAGAAAATTAAGAAATTTTTTTGATTTTCAGACCATTTTTTGGCTCGAGTTGCCAACACGGTCAAACATTGTTATTTTCAACCGTCATTCGAAACTGAAATACCCGTCATACTATGATAAAAAAATTTTATGACACCTGCTGTTTTGCACAGGTGGTAAGAAAAATGGGTGTTTTGGTGCTTTGTCTGCTGCAAAAGTTTTTAACAAAGAATCGAAAAAACGCAAGCGAAAACGCACTCAAATAAGCATGTAGCTTATTGAGAGGGTTAATCCTTTAAACATTTAGCTCATTTAATTAATGAGCGTCATTCAAAAAATATAATTCAGAGCAAAACGGCGGATGACGAAGCGGCTTTTGATGACTTCTTTGCAAGCAGCTCCTACATATCGGGCAGGTACGACGAAGTGTCCTCCTTCATCAAACTATCCGAACACCTCGCATCGCTCAGTTTGGAGTCGACCTCGAAGGGAGTGAATGTGAATTATATTTTCTACCTCGCAGTCCCACCCTCAGTGTTTGATGCGGTCACTTCTAACATCAAACTATGCTGCATGGCGCCCAAGTTAGTCTACTCTTCAAAAAACACAAAATTAGCCGGTGGCTTCGAATAAAAGTAGCATAGAATAGCTTTATCACCGTCGTCTTTCATTAAAACTTTTTAAATTTCAATTAATTAAAATTTTTCAAATAAGTTCTATTGATTTTTAGGTCCGATTGTGGAAATCTGCTCTGCATAAGCAGGCATGCCCTTACTTTTGGGTTTAAAAACGTATGGCTTCCAGACACGTCAAATTTTTCAACTTGACCTTTTAGTGAAATTTTGATCGAAAACCAACCGGCCAATTGTCGATTACTGGTTCAACCGCTGGATCAGCCGGTACCCCTCTTTTGTAAAAAAAAATTAATAGCCATCGGAAAAATCAATTAAGTCTTTTATGACCGTTTTTGGGAAAATCTATAACTGAGAAACTGCCCTAGAGATCGGAAATAAGGGTTCAATTTATAGAAAAAATGCGATAATTTTCTATGCGGAAGCGGCAACGCCTTAATTTTGTAGATTTTCTTCACTGCTGAAGAATAAGCAGCTACGCCCTAATTTTTTTATGAAAACTTATGAACTTGGAGCGCGATTTTTTTTTGTTCTCAAAAACTGCTCCGCTATTCTGAGGATAATGATTCAGTTGAAAGAACATGGTGTAAACTTCTCCCCTGCATACACGGTTACACACTATTTTTTTTATAGAAAAGCCGGCTTGCGCTCACCAAATTCCTTTTTTCCAAAAGCTTCAAAGTTTTTCGGATTTTTTTTAAAAACTACCCTGCAAGTTTGACGTGGCGTTCAATTGAAAAATGGAGTAGCAGGCATCTCCCCTTCATGAGAGGTTGAACTTTTTTTTAGTAGAGAAACTACTTAGCTTTTGGTAAAGTCATAAGAATTCTAAAAATCTGAAATAGGTGCCTCCAGTTTTAGCTGGGGCCCCTTTTTGCTGGATAATTTCGGATCCAAAACATTCAGTCCATTTTTTTGGTTGTGTTGTCTTTTTGCTGAAGTTTAGTCGTAACATTTTTAAAGTATTTTTAGGTTTAAGCTTTCGGCATAGTTTCAACATCTGTAGGAGTCTCAATATATTATATATTTGAATGCGGACTGCGCTATCTCACCGTCCTTAAGCTTTCTTAACGTTTTGCGTGTTCAAGGAAAGAACTTTTTCACGCTTAAGCTTTATCGTATGTTGCAATGGTTAAGATTTTTTTTGGATTTGCAATTTGAATTTAGTGTTTATTCCATTAAGTTTGAAATTAGCACACCAATAGTGGGATGCTTTCAGGTTTCTCCAGGGGTTGCGAATATAGCCTCCTTTTACGAATCTCCATTTCTTTACACTTGAGATATGACTATTTTTAGGATTTTTTCAAAAATTTTCAGAAATTTTTTACGAAATATGAAATTCCCATTCTTGTAGTTGGGTACCGTGAGGGTTATTTCAGGGTATTACAACCTTGCCGCCAAATTTGACTGCACAAATACTTATTATTATGTATTTTTCGTATTATGCATTATTATGTACTATTCAAGATATGACATTTTTTATGATTTTTCAAAAAAAAAATTTTTAATTCAAAAAAATTGAAATTTCTGTCTCTATACTGAGGCGTTGTTAGGAAACTCCCAGGTTTTACAAGTAGTGCCACCAAATATGAATGTACAAATGTTTGTAGTTTCCGAGATATGACTTTTTAAAATAATTTTTTCAAAATTTTCAGAAAACTTAGGTTTACAAAATTTCACAGAAGTTGAAATTCCCAGCACTAAAGTTGAGAATTGTCAGGGTACTCTCGGGGGTTGCAAATCTTGCCTCCAATTTTGGCTGCTCAAATGCGTTAAGTTTCCGATACAATGTTTATCCAATATTTTCAAAAAAAAATCAAAAAACTTAATCTAAAAAAACTTAAAGGTTGAAATTATCACTAATATGGTGGCGTGCTGTTTCAATATGGACTCAAAATAGGACTGCTCAACGCATTTGATTCTCCTAGATATGAAATTTTTTGCTTTTATAAAAATTTCAAAAGTGTAATATTTTTTTTTCAAACTTTGAAATTGTCGACGCATGGCATATACGTACGTTCTAACGAAATGAAAGAAAACTAAATTAAACTAGAGTCTCTTTTATGAATTCAGTTATTTCGCCAGTGAAATCATTTTATTTGGAATGTCCAGTTGTATGCCAACGGCCATTTTTAGATTTTGTTTCTGAGTTGAAAATACAAAGATCTGAAACCCAGCAGTTCTGTAGATTTGACCATTTTAGTTTTAAAAGAAATTGCATTCATTGTTAATTTTCAATTCATTTTTTTAATTGTAAGCAATTTTCAAGTTCATTAATCTGTTCATAAGCACCGGAGGTGCGTTACACGCTAGTTTTGTTGATTTTCGTTATTTGATAACAAGCCTCGTGTTTTTTTTCCTCATATGAAAATTTTTGAGAAGGTTTTTCAATTGTTAATTTGAATGTTTTCATCATTGCGATAAGCAAGGGAGTTGCTATCTGGTACTAAAATTTTTACCCGTTAATATATTTGATCACAGATTGAATGAAATTGGCTATCATCTCTATCCGTTTGTACTTTCTCAACAACTAGAAAAATTTTGACCATGTATGCTATTCAAATGGGCGTTTGCTCGTTCTATTCGAAATTAGTTTTTTCTAGTTGTTGGAAATTTTCCGATTCCAATTTCAATATATCAGTTTTTTTCCTATTTTTATTCGGTATAAAATTTTCAGCTTATAATATATCGGCTTAGAGGCGTGTTTTTGATTCCTCTGAGGAGCAAAAAATGGTTTTTTTTGAGGGAGACTTAAAAAATTTTGAGGGAAGTTTTTCCGATAAAACATTTTTACCAATAAAAGCATTCCAATAAAAACAAAACTTCTATAAAAAAAAAACTTTTTTTTCGGGGCAATGTGTGTCCTCTCAAAAGTTGTCTGCTTTGTTACAGTTCTATAAGTTTTTTTCATTCATATCGATGCTTATTTAACTTTCAATTGTCTTGCCTCTCAGCAGACTCTTTTGAAACGATTTTTTTCAAAACAAAGTCAGGATAAAGGTAGAAAAAAATTTTCGATTTTTTTCTAAAGAAAATTTTTGGATTTTTTCTCTGGTTTTCCTCTATATTGCTGTTGGCTAGCTTGTATGCTATGTACTGGTTGTATCTCAAATGATGCGAAGCTTCGCTTCGCATCTGTGTTAGAAGTTTTAGAAATTCATGCTAGCAGTTTGTTTGAATGGCTGAATTTTGTTTGCGGAGTAGTCAAGATTTTCAAAATATTAATTCTCCGAGACTGACTTTTTTTGTTCTTGGATCTAAAATTTGCATTCTTTTAATTAAGATTCGATTAACATAGTTTAAACTCTTATATAGCTGCTGAAGATTTTTTCTTTCGTTCTCTTTTTTCATGAAAAGTCTTCATTTTGTTCAGGCTCAAATTTACTTTTTAGTGGTTTGAATTTTGATTATTTTAAAGGTCAGTTCTTTTCCTTTGTTAAAGGAAGGCAAGCTCCTCTATCGAAGAGCAAAAGTGAAAAGGTCTCACAAAACGTGATCGACTTTTAGTTTCTAAAGTGGGATTAATTTTCAGATTTCCGAGCGGAAAAAAATTTACTTTCTGATCCAGTTTTCTCAATTGATTTTCACTCATAAATTCAATGGCATTTAAAAAAAAACGTTTTTTATAAGTCAATTTTTTGTGTTTACTTGCGTTCATTGACTTTTTTCCAACTGTCTACTGATTATGTTTTTTTTATTGCAAGTAGTTGTATATTCTGCATGAATGGGCAAGCGGTAAAAAGTTCCGTGATCTGTTTTATCTAAACTTTGCTATTTACAAAATTTCGAGACTTTTTGCATTGCAAGTGGTGCTCTGCTTCGCCTCCCTGTAAAAATGAATATGTATTTCAAATATCATTTTTATGGCCATAGGGGTGTCACTCGCGTTGTCGTCGAAAAGCCGTTTGGCCACGATCTGGAGTCCTCGGAAGTACTGTCCAAACACCTGGCAACTCTGTTCTGGGAGCAGCAGCTATACAGAATAGACCACTACCTCGGCAAAGAAATGTCCCAGAACATGCTAGTTTTAAGGTAAGCAGTTAATTAGTGTGCTTGTGCTTAGAAAGCGTTACCAGTCGAAATGAAGGATTTTTTTCCAGGTTAAAATCTTGTCTAACTGGATCATTTTGAGTGTGTAACTTATTTACACAAGCGAAGCGTGGTGTATTATTACGAAGAATTTTTTTTCACCTGAGTCGCAAATAAAAGTGCTCATTTGGTGGCACTTTTGGTATATTTCAGTTGAATCATTCTTGAGCTTATTTAAGCAATAATAGTTTGATAGCATATGTTACTGCCTTATTTTTGGTTAGTCTGGGGATTTATTGTTTGCGATAAAAGAGAGGGATTTATTGTTTTTCGTTTTTTTTTTGCGACGCTTTGTCAGTGTTTTGCTCTTTTCGCAGAAATTTCACATCTTGTAAAAAACTACGGTACCAATTTTAGAAGAATGGAAACCAATGGAAAAATCGTGGCTCTTTATGAGGTACCTCACGTTCTACGGTCTTCGAAAATTTGGGGATTTTTGGTTTATTTGTTTTGAATTATTCCATTTTCTCAAATATTTATTGCACATATCTGAGATGAAGGTGTCAATCACAAGAAAAATTTATGAGGGTCTCTCGTTCTCAAGCGGCAATTTTTTTAATTTGGTTACAAAATAAATTATGGCCTCAAACAAGCCAATTTTTTTGACAATTTGGTTAATTTATAAAACTTTTTAATTTTTTTTCAAGAACTACCCTGCCAAATCGGATATAAAGGGTTTAACCGAAAAAAAAAAATACGTATGCGAATCGTACCAGCGCAAGCGGTTATGCAAAAATTGTGTTCGCCTTAGAAAATGTTCAATTTTTGAATTTTTGCCTCTTTCTTTGAAGTTTTCTTGATTTTTCAAAAACTAACCTGCTGATTATGAGGTTGATAGTTCATTAAAAGTAACATACTGCTTAGGTATTACGTGCGTTATTTTTGTCACTCTGTTTTTTTGTAGAAAAGCTGAATGGTCTTTGGAAAAATTCTTTTCTAATTTTTTTAACAGTTTTTAGAATTTTCGTCACTTTTCTCGAAAACTGCTAAATCTCATGTTAAAGGCTGAATCTAAAAATCAGTTTGCGGAAGTCTTCATTCTAAAAATTAGGGTGCCGCAAATAGAGTTCATTCCCATGCTTCAGCAGAAAAAAAATCATGGATTTAGCGAAAGTCTAAATTTTGAATGTTGAATAGATTTTTGAAATCTTTTTCACTTTTTTTCGAAAACTTCATGGCCAGATCTCAGTTAAAGACTTCAAAGATCGAGTAGTAGTTTTCTCATTTAAAAACTGTTAATCCAGTACTTAAGCAGAGAAACACTAGGGTGTAGCCTAAAGAACATTTTTTTTTAATTTTCTAAATTACTCCTTTCCCTATCAGTACAATATATGATTACCTTTGCGATAAGCAAGGGTATTGCAGTCGGGTACTAGACTTTTTCACTAAACAACAATTTCCACAGGATGACTGAAAATTGAGCATCACAAAATGGTTCTCTATTTCTATCCAACTTGCACGTCTAAGAGCTGTAATTCAAATTGGCTTCAACGACTGAATTGATAATTGTTTTACGGCTGAAATTTTTTTTAGATGCTAGTTGATTATTTATGGGCTTTTGGCTCTTTTTCTTTTTCCCACCTCACAGGACCATCCAGTTTATGGTCTAACGAGTGGTTTTTACGAGGTAAATTATGAAGACCAAATATGTTTGCCTTGGCATAATCAGTCTGCATGTCAACTTTCATGACAATCGGCCAATGTGAACAAAAATTTTAATCATTAAATATTGCAGAAGGGGGAAAAGGAAAAAGAGTCGGGTTTTTTTTTTGATTTTGACCCAATTTCTGTCAGCCTACTTACCGGGTAATCAATTCTGTAATGTTTTGGTTCAATTTTTTATGTACTTTTTTCTTTAATTTTTTGAGGGTAAATATAGTTCAAGGTTTTCTGGTTTTTATAGGCGCCAAACTTTTCTTTTAGAAATCAAACGTTTTCGAATTTTTCCGCTAAAATTTTTTGCAATAAATTTTCAGTTTTTCTCGGTTGCATGGTTTCTGAATTTTTTTGTTTGTTTTAGAAGTGCGTGAAACGAGATTGACTTTAAATTAGCAAGGTGTATTTAAGGTTTGAGCAATTTTTGAAATTAATTGAAGTTGATGGTTTAACGTAGTGTTTCAATATGTCACAAAAATTGATAAATTTCCAGAATTTTTTTATGCAAGATTGAATCTACGGTTTTGTGTACAAAGGAATGAGGCGGCAAGTTCGCACGAGATGCAGGAAAGTGGTTGTTTCTGGCTGATTTTTTAAATTTCCTATGTTGGCGTTTTTTAATGTTTGATTTGATCTAGCTCTCTTACCGTTGCGAATAAATTTCACAATTTATAATTTTGATACAATTGGGTTTTTTCATAGGCTTTCAGAGTTTTTCGTTAAGTTTTTTCTGTAGCAACTGTTTCTAATTTTTGCATTCATGTTTTCGAAAGTTCGTTTTTTGTTTATCTCATACCAAAGCAATTAGCGGATAGTGTCTCTCACCCCGTTTGTTTTTGTTGGATATGCAGATTGTTTGTTTGCAAAGTTAAATGAACAGTTTTCGAGTACTTTTAGGATTTTTTGCATTTCAATTTTTTGATGGAAATGTTTCTCATCGTTTTTGATCTATTGGTTATCAGGACGAAATGCAAAGATTTAAGCCCAAATCCTTCTTTTGTTTTGAAGGTTTGAGAGAGTGAGGTGACACTTTATTGTTTCAATATACTTATGCAGTTGCAGAACTGATTGTATAAGAATCTAGTGTACAATATTACGCAATGGTTATATAACATACAAGAAAAAACATAATTTACTACGAGGACGAATATAATAATTGATTTAACAAAATAAATGTCCTTGGATGCGGAAAGACTCTCCTTATTGGGCAACAGGGTGTCATCTTTTCTTATGATGAAATTTTTTATCAGAGTTTTTGTCAATGTGTACGGTAGTTTTCGATTAAACAAGGTTCGGATTTTTGTGTTAAGGTTTCTGATTGATGTAAATAAGAAAGAAAGACTTACGAAGGAAATCAGTTTTACATGTTAAAGGGAACAGCAATGTTCCAGTTCGATGGTTATAGCGGAATTCAGAATTTGGGAATCTTATATGCGTGAAAGCTGGGGCATCGTTTCGGCATAACCTGTGAAGGTAGTGTGCTGATCGGTACTCGATTATATTCCGAGCAGTAGGAATTTTGTGCTGTTTCCTAAGAAGTGTAACGGAATCTCGTTTGCTTATATTCATTTTTATCCTGATTCCCCATTTTATTTGTTTTTCGAGTTTCTCAATATTATCTTGCGTACATCCGTTTAAGAGCATGCATGGATAGTGCAAATGGCTCAGTACAAGAGTATTTAACAGGAGAATTCTAGTACGCAGAGGGATTTCGTCTCGGATGCATTTTATCGTTTGGATTGCTGTAGCCATTTTTTGTAAAATTTTGTTGACGAATGTTAAGCTTATGTCAATATTGACGCCGAGAAATTTAACTGTCTCTGTTAAATTAACTTGATAGTTTCCAACTTTCAATGAAAGATTTTCAGTTAGTTTCTTTTTCGACGGTGCAGAAAATACAATGAACTGGGTTTTGTCTACATTAATCATTAATCGATTTAAGTGAAAATACAAGAGAATTTTATTGAAATTGTTTTCAATGCTCTTTGTTGCTGTTTCGGGATCTGAATGAAAACTAAGCAGAGTCGTGTCGTCGGCATATTGTACTAACGTACATGATTTGTCTATTGTTTGTGGCAAGTCATTTACATACAAGTTGAACAGCAGTGGTCCTAGTACAGTACCTTTGGGTACACCTTGCTCTAATTTATGCCAATCTGAGTGTTCGCCGTTTACTATTGTCAATTGCTGTCTGTTTTCTAGAAATGATTTAATAAGAGTTGTTGCTGACTGTTCAAAGCCAATGTGACTTAGTTTCCTTTCAAGGACTGAATGAGAGAGTGAATCAAATGCTTTAGATAAATCAAGAAATGCAGCCGCTGCTATGTTATTTTTATCGAGATGGAATCTGATTTTTTCTGTTGTGTATAAAAGAGCATCATTAGTTGAATAACGTGGACGAAAGCCAAATTGTTTTGGATTTAGAATATTGGAATTTGCTAAGAATTCGTGAATTTGGGATGAAAAAATTTTTTCAAACAACTTCGATAGTGGGTGTAATAGAAATTGGACGATAATTTACTGGATCTGTCGAGTCGCCTTTTTTGAATATGGGAAAAACGTGTGCCTTTTTTAAGCCAATCTGTGTGTTCGCCGTTTACTATTGTCAATTGCTGTCTGTTTTCTAGAAATGACTTAAGGTTTTAGTTTGCTAATACACATTGTTATTAAATGGTCCGTGTTTATAGGTGGTTCTGCTACAATAGTTTCTTTACAAAGAGATTTGGTTGTTATAATGTTATCTAAAATGGATTGGCTGTTTTTAGAATTGTATGTCGGTATCGACTTATTGGTTATAGAGTGGGTGTAATAGAAATTGGACGATAATTTACTGGATCTGTCGAGTCGCCTTTTTTGAATATGGGAAAAACGTGTGCCTTTTTTAAGGTATATGAGAATACGGATTTCGAGATGCATTCATTGATAATCATCGTAAGAATTGGGTTTACAGTATTAATGCTGTCTTTTAGAGCCCAAGCAGGGATTTTGCTTGGTCCTAATGGCTTGTTTAAGGGAAGTAATAAAATTGCATCTTTCATTTCTTTGTGAGTTATGAACCTGAATTGAAAGTGCCTATTTGTTTTGCTGTGTACACTGTACTCAGTTGGTACATCTATGGGAGGATCTGCGTTTTTGTATTCTCCTATTGTTGAGAACCTGTAGTTAAGGAAATTTGCTTTCTTCTTATTTTCAATTAAAGTGTCGCCAAACGAATTCTGTAGATCACCTATTTGCGTTGACTGTTTCATGGTGTTCCTGATAGAGTTTATGAAATTCCATTGTTTTTT